ATCATCATTGGTGAGGGTCTCATTCTGATCATTTTGTTGGCTGGCCTCTGTATTTTTTCTCAGCTCTCTAAGAATAGTTTGAGCCATCTCACTGACCTCAAAGGGATTGTGTTGTGTGAAGCGGCCTACAACAATCCACTCCCAACCTGATCGTTGAGATCTGGATCTCAACGATCAGGTTTAAAAGTCTTGGAGAAAAAATACAGAGGCCAGCCAACAAAATGATCAGAATGAGACCCTGACTAATGATGATATCAAACCCCGTTGGTTTCGGCCAGTCTGATTACTTCATTGGGTAAGTTTCCCTACAAATTACTAGTCTAAATTCAACAAGAGTAGAAGGTTTAAGGGATATTATTGTTATTATTATTGTATGAAGTTTAAATGTAAGTAATGGTCTTAATTATTATTATTATTATTATTATATGTCTTGTCATTTCAATCAATAGTTTTTTTTTTTTTTTTTTTTTTTTTAATTATTGTTGTTTTTATTAACAAATAATTTCGACCAAAATGGGTTATTAGGCCTCCATAGACGGTTTCAGAGGTTATGATAATGTAAAACTATGATAACCAACCTACACACGTCAAACTCGTAGGGATTTTCATAATTCCTAAATCAATTCATAGCTTATACTCAAAGAAAATCACATCAAAATCATTTCATAGTTTTCATAATTCATAAACTATGAACAGAATTTTCTTTTCGATATTCCGACTGATGATTTGTTCCATCCTTCTCATGCATGCATGCATGCTTTTCAGGTCAGCTGCTTTTCATTTCTTTTAATTTGCTTATATATTTATATTTTTTTTTTTCCAATTTTATGGATATTATTAGCATTATCTGGCTTGGTTTTGCTTCTTATTTGGTATATGTGTACATGGTTTTCTTTGTTTCTGTGAAATGGTGTAGATGTATGTAGAGTTTGCCTTGTTTTTGTTGTCAGAAAATTGTTTTTGAGAATTTAAAAAATGGAGAAAGTAAAACAAGTCTATTTGGGTGGGTAGAAAACAGTTCTGAAATTTTTTCACAGCTTTGACGATTCATTATTGGAAATCAGAGTTTGTTTAATTTAGATAAGCTTTTTATAAATACCGTGAGTTTGTATAATTAATTTCTTATAGTAGTTGCATCTTAATATCCAAATAATATAATTAAATTCCTCATTTATTTATAGACATTCCCATGGGATTTTGGGGCAGCTAATAATTTATATCATTCTTTCTTTCCAGATAGGCAATTAATTGGACCTTCATTTAAATGAGTGAAAAGTTTTTCACTACCCCAAAGTTATGGATCAAGAGCTAGCTCCATGAATATTCCATTAAGGTACAAAGGTTTTCATTAATTGTATGCATGACCATAAAAGAAACTAATTAATGGTTCTAAACTATGTTAATTAATCTCATAATTAATGTATATTTTAGTGAACTGCTAGGTCCTTCACCGTCTAGTTACATTTATAGTTGTATCATGTTGTCCCTATCCCAATAAAGCTACAGACATCGAAAAACTTGCACCGAAATTGTGTATCGGCTTACGTGTAACAAGCCTCTGATTTTTTTAACAATTTTTTTCTAGTGAACGGCCGTCCATCAAATTTGGACGGCCGTTCACTCACATGCAGGGATGGGCGTCCCCATTTAATGGATGTCCGTTTATAAGTAAAATGGAATAAAAATTATTTATAAAAATTAGGGACGATCGTTCATCCGTTGTGGACGGTCGTCCCTTCATTTTGGACGGGCGTCCGCAAATAAGGGACGTCCGTCCTTAACCAAATATGAAAATAAAAAAAAATAAAAAATTGGGGACGGTCGTCCATAAAGTTTGGACGATCGTCCCTTACGTTTGACGGACATCCATTAGACCATACTTTAAAAAAAAAAAAAAAAAAACACAATTTTGAGAGAAAACACTCAGGTAAGTAGTTATCTTCGTCATCCTAATCAAATTTAAAGTCATTGCAGAAGCAAAAATCATCCAAAGAACGTTTCGTCCATACTTAAAAAAAAAAAAAAAAAAAAAAAAAAAAAAAAAAAAAAGAAGCTATTAATATGCGGATATAGTAGGACATGCAACATTAAATTTCACAAGACCAAAAACGATACTGTCCAGTCTCAAAATCTCAAGAAAAGAACAACGACATTTCTCTCTCTCTTCTAATACAAAACAAAAGAAAGAAACTCAACTATTTCTCGCTTTTCCTCTCAGTAAAAAAACAGAAGCTAAACGAAACTTTAAAACTTACATTTTCTCAAGCTTGAGTCACTTTTTCTCCAAATTCTGTCAAAATTTAAAAAAGATAATATCAAATAACCACTTAAAAGAAGAAGATTGAAACAATTACTTGAACATCTGAGTCGGGGACCCCAACAATTACGTTCCCGGGAAGTGTATCAGTGGCGAGCTTGTACTTGAGTGGATTGGGTGGGCGTGGGGGCAACGGGCTCTTCATCTTTGGATGATTTTTGTTTTTACAATGACTTTAAATTTGAATTAGGATGACGAAGATGAAGGCTTACTTGAGTGAGTCTCTCTCAAGATTGTGTTTTTTTTTTTTAAAGTATGGACGGGCGTCCTCAATTTTTATTTTTTTTATTTTCATATTTTGGTTAAGGACGGGCGTCCCTTATTTGTGGATCCCCATCTAAAATGAAGGGACGGTTGTCTATAACGGATGAACGGCCGTCCCTAATTTTTATAAAAAAAATTAATTCCATTTACTCCTGTCTCTGGTATATGGACCCTCGTCCATATAGTATGGACGGGCGTACATGTGAGTGAACGGCCTTCCAAATTTGATGGACGGCTGTTTACTAGAAAAAAATTGTTAAAAAAATCAGAGACGTATTACACGTAGGTTGGTACACAATTTTGGTGCAAGTTTTTCGGTGTCTGTAGCTTTATTGGTCCCTACCCTAGCAATGAAGAAGTAATATAATTGGAGGGTTTGCTCTGATTTTTTTAGAATTTTACAGCTTTAATTTAATTCCTTATGAATGATATAATTTGTTATAAACATCATTTAATAATCTCCATCGATATATTTCAAATATGATATGGCACATTTAATTCGCAAAGACCACTGGCTGTAATTAGATGTTACCTACATCACATGGTTGTCGTCCTCGATTTATCTCTTTAATTAAGATATATTCTCAAAGATTTGGGGTTTGAATAAATGCACACACATTTATTCTTTAGATATAAATATTGTTGAATTTGTAGCATAGTTTTAATTTGCACTCATAGCAACAGTAACTTTCGCTGTTGCTTTCACAATGCCAGGCGGTTACCAAAAAAAATCTTTTATTTGAATTCTGAATGAACATTGATTGGGTATTAATTAAAGAATGTGAAATCCAAGTATATAAGACTATATGGAAAGCCAATGACCAATCAACTGGTTTCTTGTATCAGACATGGGCAGGCCTTTGAGAATTAAGGAGATGAACTGATGAGGACCACAACCTTCGGGGAGTGATATTGACATATTTATTGATGAACATCTGTTCTCTAAAGATGTTTAAGATAAGAGACCAAGCATGCATGTCCTACCAACAGACCCATTTCAATATTCAACATAGGTTACATTGACCAGACCAAATATTTTGAATTGCTGTAGCCTGTAGCCGCTGTGACCGGAGTGATATTTACAGACTACACAGTGTGTGAAATGCTAGTTTTCTTCTTTTTAGTCTTGTCTACGAATTTTTTTTAAAAAAAAAAAAACGAACTTGTCAAAATATATTCTAGCACGAGCACCCCAAGTTCAAACATCACTATGTTTATGTTTATCTTTATATTTAATCTCTCGTTGCATTTGAAGTAGATGAACATGGCATCATCAAGGGCCCACTATGTTTATCTTTAATATTTAATTCCAGTTCTTTTGGAACAAAGCTAACGACTCTTTGTCATTTCTGTCAGTCTACTGCCTCCCACAATCTACATGGCAAATAATACACACAGCCTGCAATAAAAATTTATAAATTAGCCAAAACATGCTGGATTTACAGCCAGAATTTGAACTTTTTTTTTATCCGATCCGGTTGATTTAGCCGAAAAAGATAAAATCGATACATGATCGACTAGATTCAACTAGTCGTACATTATTTCGGTGACTTTTAATCACCGTCTAGCGGTGATAACTAGCTGTAAGTGAATAAGTTGGGTGAATGAGAATGTTTTTGTTAATTTTAAAATTTTTATTGGAAAAGATAATTGTTAAATGTTTTATCATTTATGACTAGTAATGTAAATCAGTTAGCCTGAAAAATTTAATCTATTGGAGATACAAGAATTGGAACCCCATAGTATAACTTAAATTTTTGAAATACCATTACTTTAAATTTTGTTTTCACATCTAAATTTATTTTAAGGAAAAAAGAATTAATATTTTAGAGATTTTGTTTTCTGAAAATAAAATTATATATAACGTAATGTTTAAGAATAAAAATTTGAGATAAAGTTTAGCTTTAAAATAAATAAAAAATATCTGATGCAGGACTTTATTTAGTATAAGCTGTCAACACAGGCATTCTTTTCATTGATAAATGTATTTCTTTTATTCTTGTGTGTTTGTTGTATACAAAGACTGCTCTATTTATACAACTCAAAGAAGAAATGCTAAGAAGGTAAGAAGATATACAAGCTATAAACATGGTAATCAAATAAAACAAAATATATTCTTGCCAATATCTTGTTGATATGAAGATCAATATCTTTGATCATAATCCTTCCAGAAGATGGACTTGCCAATTCTCTCCCATTCCAGCTCACGCCAACATAAGCTATTTTCCTAATTTTCATTAGGAATTTAGTTTATTTTCCAATTTATGATTCTTTGTTTAAGTTAGGATTTTTTTCCAATTTTATAATTCCTTATTTGAGTAGTATTGGATTTTTTTATTTTATTTTAATTATTTTTTCCTAGTAGAATTAGGATTAGTCTATTATAATTTATAAATAGGGTTGTTATGTTATTACAAAGGTTCACTTTGGAAGCCTTTGTTGTGATTCAAGAAGCCTCTTTGCGGATTCAGATAGGGTGACTAATAAGTATCTCTCTCTCTCTCTCTCTCTCTCTCTCTACTTTTATCTTACTGAATTGAATTTGTTTGTTTGTTTTGTGTGTGTTGGTGTGGTGCGTTTTGAAGTCAGAGATGTTGTCGTTGCGAAAAGCATTGGTGTTTCTTATACTTCAGTTTCTCGAAGATGAGAAATTCGAGGAGTCTCTTCACAAGTAAGCTTTGAGGAGAACATTTTGTGTGTTTGTGTTGTTTTGTTTAATGGATAGTTTTAAGCAAAGACAAAATTTAGTGTATTAATTACATCGCAATTTTTGCAATTTTTTATCTTTTAATAATTTTTTATGTCCTTCAACACGTCCCATCATCTATAGATACACATTAAGAGAATTGTTTAATAGCACAATTCTTGTGTTTATATATGAATTATTATAAATGAATTATGCTAGCCTAGGGACTCAGGGGAACCTCCTTTGTCAAACAAAATTTTAAAAGTTGGCAAAATCTGAATAGTGTTGGGTTTGTTTGGGTGGAGAGTGTTCTTTACTTAGCAAATTGATGTTTTGGTTGAAAATTATTTAATTGGAATTCCACATTTAATAAAGGATGTTACTTTCCATGTTTTGGTAGGCTTGAAAAAGAATCAGGGTTTTATTTCAATGTGAAGTACCTCTATGAGAAAGTTCAAGCCGGAGATTGGGTTGAAGTTGAGAAATACTTGTCAAGATTTACCAAAATTGATGATAACCAAGATTCTATAAAGATATTTTATGAAATTAGGAAGCAAAAGTATCTTGAAGCACTTGATAGGTATAAGTAATTTGCATTTATTAGTGTAAGTTTTTTATAGTTTTGTCTTTATTTTTGAGGTATTAATTTTTTCTGCCTTAAATTATATTTTAGGCGAGACAAGGCAAAGGCGCTTGAAATGTTAGATAATGAGTTAAAAGTGTTTTCAACATTGAATGAGGAAGGTTACAAAGAACTTACACAACTTTTAACTCTCAGCAATTTCAGGTAATTTTTGTTGTTTCTCAATTTTCTCTTAAATAATGAACTATAAATTGAAATTTTGAATCAGTTAATGATCAATTTGCTTGAGTAAATGCAATAGTCACTATTCAAATTTTAAGTGTTGCTAGTTCGACTTGAGTTTATGACACTTTGGTGTGTGAGATCAATTCAGGGAAAATGAGCAGCTGTCCAAGTATGACACCAAAACAGCTCGTAGCATACTTTTGATAGAGCTCAGAAAACTGATGGAAGCAAACCCACGTTTCCGCAATAAGCTTACTTTTCCCACCCTAAAGGATTCAGGATTGCAGTCTCTAATGAATGGGTAAAGTAATACAATACATGATAGAATACAATTATGTTTTTTTCTAATTTCCATCTGGTTTTGCCATAAATGATCAATTTTTTTCTTTTTTTTAGTCATTCATTATGCTTAACATGAAGCCTACTTATGAAGTATTCATTTTTATTGTTCTGTTAGTTTCCTATAAACTGGAGCCGTGTTTCCGCCTTTTTGCTGTATGTTTCTATGAAAAAGTTGGAGCCAAATTTAATACATGATCTTTGATGCAGTTTAAACTGGCTGCACCTGTTCGGCAAGAACCCAAGGCCAGAAAAGAACCCAGGGCTAAACCCTGACATTAAGACTGAGTTTACTGACGATACATGTACACCTCCAAATGGTCCTCCTGTTGCAGCAGATGCAAAGCCAGCTTCTTCCAATGTATGATAATTCTCCACCTCCTTATTATTTTAAGTAAATATTAACCATATTGGAGGAGCAAATATTAAAAATATTGACTAATGCATATTTTTTTGGGGTATAGCCTAAAATGGGAATTTGGCTAACTCCCGAACAGATCAATGAGAATGTCAAGGCCTTGAAGAAGGTACAACATAGGCAACTTGAGGAACAAAAGTTGTTACTGAAAAAACTAGAATATCTGTATGGCATTATTAATCTAGACCGTCTGAATGGCCAGGACTTCACTTCTATGCAACTTGATGAGGTAGTGCTCTGCAGATCTAATTTACTTCATTTATGTTTTGGTTCTGTTTGCACTAACTAGCAACTAGTATTCTTATTTACTTCATTTATATTTTGGTTTTGATTTTGCAGTTATCTGCGGTTTTAGAGAAGTTTCTGGAGTACGATAACAGTGAGGTTCGAAACGAGGCCATATATATTACCAGAATGCTAAACGGAATGCCGCGAGAATTGATAACATTTGAGGGTATCGTCAGTGCCTGCTGTCCGGCTAGGCGGCTACCCGAAGCAGCCAGTTTTCAGTTTTCCAGAAATTAATAATATCTTTATTAGATTTTTATTTTAATTATGTTATTATTTTATAAAAAATAATGAGGGTATTTGCCTAATTAACATTTCATAATCAGTTTTTTTATTTTAATTATAGATTATTTCATTTAAATAGTGAACCCGGTTGTTTAATAATTAAAGTCCATCTTAAATTTGAATTTTGAAGCCAATGGATTCATGAGTTGTTGGCTAGCTGAGATATTTTTAATTTTTTATTAGTCTGGTTATCAATGACCAAATGCATACATATATTTACAATTGAAAATTAACATCTTCTTCATCATTTATTTCATATCCTCTAAATCACCATTAATTCACTATTTTGGAAAGCTACATTACTTATGCATATACACATCATTAAATCTTTGCAAACCACCACCAGATTGTCTGATGGTAAAAGAGTAAAAAGAGTTTCTCCAAACTCTTGAGTTCGAGTTCTTTTAGACTCTAATAGAGGTGGTTATTGGAGGATTATTCGATCAAACTTTCAAGATCTCGGAAGATTAGTTAAAGTGCGTGCAAATTGGCTCTGACACCCTTGATTATAAAAGAAAATTTAAAAAAATCGCTAAATTTTTGCAGTTCGGCAAAGTAATATTCATCAGTAGTCTGACATATTCATTAGCAGACCTCTTATTGTATTTGATTTCTTACTGCAAATCTCATGTTCAATGATGCAAACGATCTATTATGGAATGGTTGTATTGTGTTTGCCAGTGATTTCATTAGAAGAAACCAGTGGCAAATCCATCTCTCCCTAATCCTTAAAGTTCTCTGCGTTCTCTTATCAGTCTCTCTCAATTCCTCACTGGTATGTGAATGGAAAACCAAAGTTTAAAAATACATGAGCTAGGATTTATGGGTTTTGTTTGAGAAACAAAATAGATAAGTTTAACCTCAAGGAATTGGCCCAGTGGTCAAAGAGGCTTGCTCCATTCCTTAAGTTCTTAGGTTCAAACATTAAGACTATCTAGTTCGTTGGGCTTATAAGGTATTCAATCGATCTTAGAAATTAGTTGAAGTGCATGTAAACTGGTCCGAACACCTCAGTTATTAAAAAAAAAAAAAAAAAAAAAAAAAAAGTAGATGAGATTTGGAAATAAATTATTGGGATAGGTTATGTCTTTAGTGGTGTATTGCATGTTGTTGTTCAATTTTATGTTTATCTTTAAAATGATTGAAAATTGTTAGGTGTAAGAAACCCGTAAACAAATACTATTTACATTTTTTTTTCTTTTACAATAATGCTAAATCCATAATCCAATCTCACAATTTTACCTCATGACCCTTGACGTAGCAGCTCACAAATAGGTCTCACTTGCTTATTTGTCAACTGACTAATTATAAAGTGTCGAAGATTGTAGACGTAGTATTACTTAGGCTTCGTTTGGTTCATTATTCTGATAATATTTAAAAAAAAGTTAAATTGGACAGGTATTATGATGTAAGATTTATAAATTAACAAAAATATCCCCTATATTTATTATTTACTAAACACCCTTATAATAAAATATTAAAAGTTAACAAAAACACTTTTAACTCGTCCATTAAATACAAACAGCTAGCCACTACCGACGGAAGGTGGTCGGAGTGTTTTTGTAATTTCAAAAAGAATATTTAGGGATATTTAATTAAATTAATAAATTTAAAAAGGTTTAAAAGAAATTAAAAAATATATAATAATATTTTAAGAATAATTTCATTTTATGTTTAACTTTATTATTCCTGTGACGTAAACAAACGAAGCGTTAGTATTTAGTAGCATAATTGTCCACTGTAATAGTATATATATACACGTGTGTGTGTTGTGGAGGTCCACTCACATTTGTTTTCTTTAATGGCAATTATTAGAAGGCAAAATTAAGTTAAGATGAAGTGGTCCACTTTAGTCGGCAAATTTAGAAAGTTCACTTTTTATATAAAAAAAAAAATAGAAGTACATTTATCATTTAATCTGAGAGATGGGCTCTGCTCTGGTGTGTACGTCCTTACCATCAAACAATGGTATGACACTTAACTGACGATCTTTACCTGACAATCTCTTCTGTTCACGATTCGCAATTCAATCTGCCAATCTGCTGCTCCTCACACCACGTTACTGTCAGTGGTCCACACCACTCATTTCATTTGCACCCTACAAATATAACTAGATCCTACAACACAAATTTATTTTATTTTATATTTTGGGAAATTGAGAATTTCAGAAATTTTTTATTTTAAGATTTAGGTTTAGATATCTCATTCATTTTTTTTTAAATAATTACATATTCTCTAAAATTATATAATAAATTGTGAAAAGTATAGAACATTTAAGACTTATTAATCTTTTAGAAAGCTAATAATACTAAACCCTAAATTTAACATTGTTCAATACTTTTAGAAAATTATCAAAAATCTAATTAAAAAAAATGGCATAATTTGTTTAAAAATATCTTTGGAATGTTTTATTTTAATTATTTAACCAAAAAAAAAAAAAAAAGCCATTACAAATCCTTAAAATCTCCATTCAACTGATGTATTATTTTATATTATGTCACTTGTTGTTTATAGCACAATCTAATATATTGACTTGTGATACCGCTAATGTAATACAATCTGTCGTAGTATCATAAACTTTCTCTATAGAAATTTATATAAAATAGTTAATATATGGATTTATATTTTAATATTATTAGAAATTGTATTTGTTCCATATTGCCAATTTGGTAGGTTGTTATTAAAGGTAAGCATGAATAAAATGTTGAACCAAAACTGGCGAGTACCCACCCGCCGGTTCTGGGTGGGAATCGGAATCGACCTCATTAGAGTCTAGTTCTAGTTATGGAAAATTGGAACCAGAGATTTTCAGGTCCTATTCCAGTTCCTACAGTGATGGAACAGGGAACCAGAACCTAGGTCTAGGTATCCGAGTAGGAAATGAGACTAAATTATAATTTTTGTAAACTATTGGTGGTGTATTTGTTATTATTGTTTTTTTTTTAAATATGGGGGTAATCAAAATTTATCCTAGTACTCAGAATCGGAACCTATGTTCCAAATTTGGATTCCAGTTTCAAATCTTAAGAATCGGTCGATTCTGGTTCTAGTTCCTTCAAAAAATATAAGGTACCAAAACCGATCGCCTAGCTATTATGATGTATGTTCCTTCCTTTAGCTACCTTTTGGAAGTGAGTTTTACCTAAGCATGTTTATTTTGGCATTAAAGTAATCCCTGAGTTTTATAATAAATACTTTAGATTAGATTAAAAAAAAAAAAAAAAAACCTTTTCCCTTTTAAAACATGTCCCAAAAGAAAGGAATAGAAAATTTATGTGTCTCCTTTAAGCATGCTCCAAGTGAGTTGGGAATATAATTAAGTTGGTAAACACTATGTTCTTTGCAATTGGGTGGTTGTGATTGTAGATTTTAATGCTTTAATCAATAGTTTAAGTGATTGTGATACTCATAGTATCTTCTACATGTGTTGGTGCCTCACTTTTTGTTTTATAATGGAAACATCACCAAAACGTATTATTCAAATATTCCACTAAACCAAGATGGACCCTCATGCCATAAGAAAGTTAGAATGCACTTAAAAAAAATAAAAAAATAAAAAAATAAAATCATTAGAGAGTTTATTTCATAGTGTATACTCTTGATTCTTCATCTGAGCATCTGTGATTTAAGTGGAGAGTCATGGAGGTGGATTGTTGCTCCAGTCTCCCTCAAGAGCTAATTAAGGTACGTATAAGCTAGTTCGAACACCTTAATTAAAAAAAAAAAGAGTAACATTACGCTCATAAACACTTCTCATTAACTTTCTCTCACAAACGCTATGTGTTAGTTCATAATTCGTCAATTCACATGGGTCTCATCTGACCAAACCAATCACAAACTACCACATGAGGTTAGTGAGAAGGGTTTGCTAGGTTAGTATTATTGAAAAAAAAAAAAAAGAGTTTATTTGATATATTTCTATTAGATCCGTTAATTTTAAACGCATTATAATAATAAATTATATTGTAAAATACCTTAAAATTTCTTATAAAAGTCTCAAAAACTCGAATATATAAGGGGCCATGGATTATTATGGGAATAATCAATAATGTTACCTCAAGAGGCTCCGACTAAATGATGACTTGTTATAGAAATATTATCTTATATTATTATTTTTATTTAATATTTTTTTAAGAAAACTTTTTTTTAATTTATTGAAAATAAAACTTAAAGTTTTGTTTTCACTTCTAAATTTATTTTTTAAGAAAAATGACAACATTTTAAAAATATATTATTAAAAAAATATTACGTTTACGATCCAAACGTGTCAACAATGGACACTGTTACGTCAACTTTCACTATACCCAAAACACAAAAGACATTACTAAGAATTGTCGTTACTTATGAAGAAATAACTGTTCCTTATGAAGAAATAATTAAAGAAGTCATTCTTTTTATAAAGAATGAACGTTTCTTCTATTAAAAATGATTGTTTCTTATTTATAAACGATTATTCTTTTAATTATTCTTTCATACAAAAAACGATCATTTATTTTATGAAAAATAAAAGTTTTTTTAATAAAAAATAATAGTTTATTTGGTCTAATCAAAATTATTAGGAGCTAAAAGAATTGTAAGAGAAGCCCACGAACAAAGTTTGTTTGGGCAGCATTACTCGGATATTACTTAAAAAAACAAGAGAATACAACCCTCACCAGAAGTAACGAAATAATAGTGGGCAGTGAGCCCCACCCGCTGTCTCATCAATGAAAACAAACAACCCTGCGCGTGGGCTTCAATTTTACGCGAGATAAACAAACACAGTATCGCGAGAAAAGACACCATCCCTAAACCGAAAAAAAACTTAAACAAAAAAGAAACTGAATCTAAAATTGTAAAAAGGGAAAGCGACAGATGCGGGACCCTTGGACTTATGTGACGAATATTCACTAGATTTGAATTAATGGTTTCGAATCCGCTTTACTACCTAGACTTTTCCTATCATCTCACGCAACGATAAGCAGATCATATAAATTGATAAGTCAATGTACTTTTCAAATGATAAGAACAGCGACTTATACATCGCATTTTGGTCAGTAGAAAAAGAAAGAAGTCTGTACAAACGCATCGAAGATAGCGAGACTAATAAGTAAGTTGAAATCTCTTTCTTTCTTTCCCTCTCTCTCTTCTTTATCTTCTACGCAGCCTTTCAAACCCTAAAAGAACTCGAAAGTGGTGATATAAACAGGGCTAATTCGCCAGGTTTTCAGAGTTTGTAGGCACTTGAATTCAAAGCTGTGGTCGAGATTTTAAGGAATTTTGATTTTTGAATTGAACTGAATTGAATTTGTTTGTTTGTTTGTTTGTGTGTGTGTGTTGGTGTGGTGCGTTTTGAAGTTAGAGATGAGCTCGTTGAGCAGAGAATTGGTGTTTCTTATACTTCAGTTTCTCGAAGAAGAGAAGTTCAAGGAGTCTGTTCACAAGTAAGCTTTGATTCTTTTCTCTGTTTGTTCGTCTTTCATTTTCACACGTCAAGTAGTTTTGGAGCAGGAAAGTTTTGATTTTGAACTGGTGGTTGCGTGATTATGTTAGATTTAGGTGTTTTGGGGCTGTTTTTGTTGGAATTATGGGATTTTTTTGGGTTTGAGTTTTGATTTTTGAAATTGGGGGACGGGTAGGTTTGGTTTGGTTGAGAAAATTGGAGTTTTGGCTTTGTTAGAGTGGTTTAAGTGATGAAATGTGTGTCTGATTGTTGATTGTTGATTTTGTTAATAAAAAGTGGATTTTGTTTGTGTTTTTTTTGTTAATGGCAAGTTTTACGCAAAGGCAAAAATTTAGTCGTTACATTGAAATTTATGCAAATTTTTTTCTTTTTATGATTTTTATGTCCCTGAACAGTCCCATCATCTGTAGATGCAAGTTAAGAGAATCCTCTTATAAGCTCAATTCTTGTGTTTATATAGTTATTATGCTAGGGACTCAGGGAAACCTCCTTAGTCAAACAAAATTTTAGAAGTTGCCAAAATTTGTGTGGTGTAGTGTTGGGTTTGCTTGAGTGTAGATGCAAGTTAAGAGAATCCTCTTATAAGTTCAATTCTTGTGTTTATATATTTATTATGCTAGGGACCCAGGGAAACCTCCTTAGTCAGACTAAATTTTAGAAGTTGGCAAAATTTGTGTGGTGTAGTGTTGGGTTTGCTTGAGTGTAGATACAGGTTAAGAGAATCCTGTGATAAGCTTAATTCTTGTGTTTATATATGTATTATGCTAGGACTTAGGGAACCTCCTCAGTCAAACAAAATTTTTAGAAGTTTGCAAAATTTGTGTAGTGTGGTGTTGGGTTTGGTTGAGTGGAGTCTGTTCCTTCCTCAGCAAATATTGGATGTTTTGGTTGAAATTTTTTTAATTGAAATTCCATATTTAATAAAGGAAGTTACTTTCAATGTTTGGGTAGGCTTGAGAAAGAATCAGGGTTTTATTTCAACATGAAGTACTTCGATGAGAAAGTTCAAGCGGGAGAATGGGATGAAGTTGAGAAATACTTGTCAGGATTTACCAAAGTTGATGATAACCGATATTCTATGAAAATATTCTTTGAAATTAGGAAGCAGAAGTATCTTGAAGCACTCGATAGGTATATGTAATTTGCATTTATCAGTGAAAGTCTTTTTATAGTTTTATCTTTACTTTTAGAGTATTAATTTTTTCTGCCTTAAATTCATATTACAGGCCAGACAAGGCAAAGGCGGTTGAAATATTAGTGACTGATTTGAAAGTGTTCTCAACATTTAATGAGGAATTGTACAAAGAAATTACACAACTTTTAACTCTCAGCAATTTCAGGTAATTTTGTTGGTTCTCAATTTCTTCTTAAATAATGAGCGATAAATTGAAAATTTGAATCTGTTTACGATCAATTTGCTTGAGTAAATGCAATATTCATTATTCAAATTTTTGAGAAAATAAGAATCTTCACTCAATTTGAATTTAAGTTAAAAGGTTGGCTGAGTTGAAGAGCTCTTGCTTTCATTGAAAACCAACCTCCATTTACCATATAAGATTTTTATTTCTTTACTTTTCCTACTGTTTCCTATACCCACCAGAGCATCATTTCTTTGTGATTTCATGTGCTTTTAAGTGTTGCTAGTATGGCATTGTTGCTTGTTTGACTTGTATTACTTGAGTTTATGACACTTTGGTGTATCAAATTACATTTCATATGTTATCCTTCTTCAAATTCAATTCAGGGAAAATGAGCAGCTGTCCAAATATGGTGACACCAAAACAGCTCGTAGCATAATGTTGATAGAGCTCAAAAAACTGATTGAAGCAAACCCACTTTTCCGTGATAAGCTTACTTTTCCGTCCCTGAAGTCATCAAGATTGCGGACTCTGATTAATCAGAGGTAAAGTGATAGAATACTTGATAAAATACAATTATGTTTGTTTTCTAATTTCTATCTGGTTTTGCCATAAATGATCCTTTTTTTTTCCTTTTTCATTATGCTTAACATGAAGCCTGCTTATGAACTATTCCTTTTTATTGTTCTGTTTGTTTCCTATAAAGTGGAGCTGTGTTTACATCTTTTTGCTGTATGTTTCTGTGAAAAAGTTGGAGCCAAATACCCAGTATTTAATACATGAGTTGTTCTTTTATGCAGTTTGAACTGGCAGCACCAGCTCTGCAAGAACCCAAGATCAAACCCTGACATTAAGACTCTGTTTACTGACCATACATGTGCACCTCCAAATGGTCCTCTTGCACCTACACCTGTCAATCTTCCTGTTGCGGCAGTTGCAAAGCCAGCTTCTTATCCATCACTTGGAGCACACAATGTATGATAATACTCCGCATCCTTATTATTTAAGTAAATTTTAACCATATTGGCAGATCAAATGTTAAAAATATTAACTAATGCATATTTTTTTGGGTATAGCCTTTTCCACCCACTGCGGCCCCAGCTAATGCCAATGCTCTAGCTGGTTGGATGGCCAATGCCTCTGCTTCTTCTTCTGTTCAAGCCTCGGTTGTTACTGCATCGTCTATTCCTCTTGCGCAAAATCAAGGTTAGAATTTTAATTGAGTTGGAGTTGGGGCTTTAAAAGACACAGAATAGGTCATCGAGCATATGACTTCTGAGAAAATATATTGATTAGCATTTCTTTAACAAGTTATAAATTATTATTATTCTTATTTTAATTATTATTTTTATCAAATTTTGGAGATAAAAGGGTTAAGAGGAGTAAGGTTTATTGGTCTTATATTTTAATATATAGAGTATATCCCTGGAGTTGTGTTTGTGCTTACATGCTCTGCCACTTCATCTAGTTTCAGTCTTAAAACATTCGAGAACACCTCCAACAAATCCAGGAATGGTTGATTATCAGGGTCCTGAACATGAGCAATTGATGAAACGACTACGGCCTACTCCATCCATTGAGGAGGTAGCTTAAAGTTCTTTTGTTTCATAGATGCAACTTTAGTTATTTTGTTGTTTCTTTGGTCAATGTTTTCTTACCTGCTTCAATTTTTAGGTTACATATTCAACATCTCGACAGCAGACTTGGTCACTGGATGACCTGCCAAGGACGGTGGCTGTGACCTTGCCTCAAGGATCAACTGTGATTAGCATGGATTTTCATCCTACTCACCAAACACTGCTTCTCGGTATGGAATTTATTATTTCTGTGAAAATCATTTTTGTACTGATTTTGTGGGTGATTTCTTATACTAAAATATTTTTTCTTATTCACTGGCTTATGTTGTCTTTTGAGCAGTTGGTTCTAGTAATGGTGAGATTACACTCTGGGAACTTGCAATGCGAGATAAGCTGGTTTCAAAGCCATTCAAGATCTGGGATATGGCATCATTGCCGTTTCAGGTTTTTATATAACTAATTTGTGATAGATTTATGTATTTAATGTGCTCCAATATGCTGTTGTTGTGGTACCTCCATTGGAATTTAATATGCTGTCTTTGATTACTTGAGAATTTGTAGCTACTAATTATGTTGGAGTCTGATAATTGACAATTTCTTACAGGCCTCCATGGTCAAAGATGTACCAATTTCTGTCAGCCGTGTTGCATGGAGTCCAGATGGAAATTTTGTAGGTATGTGCCCTTTGATGAGTATTACCCTTTCTGAGATGCCTAGTTTGTATCTTAATGGTTTGCTTGCTGCAGGTGCTGCATTTAACAAACATTTAATTCAGTTGTATACTTACGCTGGATCGAATGAACTACGCCAGCATTTACAGGTAAGTTGATAGTTTGTCGTTTGTCCAGCTGGGTGGAAATTGTTAGTATAACTTGATTTGTATCCTTTTGTTACCACAGATTGATGCCCATGTTGGTGGTGTGAATGACTTGGCTTTTGCTCATCCAAACAAACAACTTTGTGTGGTTACATGTGGAGATGATAAGATAATCAAGGTTTGCAATATAAATTATTGTTGAGGAAGTTGTGGTTAGACGGCCTCTGTGAATATCTAATGAAAGAATTCTTAACAGGTGTGGGATATAACGGGACGTAATCTATTCAACTTTGAAGGTCATGAGGCACCGGTATATTCCATCTGTCCTCATCATAAAGAGAACATTCAGGTATGCCAGGCAATGGAAAAGGTTATTGGTTTTCTTTATGTGCTTTGTGACATTTATCAAATGTAAGATAAATATATCTGTTTAATTGAAGTTAAAGCCATTCACTTAGGTTGTTCCTAGTGTCTCATTCTCTAAGGGAGACACATTGATCATAAGCTTTTATTGTATTTAATGGATTTTTGTGAATATTTGATTGTCACTGTCACTGTTCTTACTCTCAAGTGTGGATTTATTTGTATCTCCCACGACCTTTATGATGTCATTTAAAATAATGATGCCTGCATCTGCTAAGTGCGTGGATGTGCAGATGTGTGTGTCTGGTTACCGCTATTAGGAATCGGTTACTGAGTCTGTTTCAAATTCTTTTGAAGACATGCTTCATGGGCTTAAGCTTTCAATTTTGAATCTGCAGTTCATATTTTCGACAGCTATTGATGGGAAAATAAAGGCCTGGCTGTATGACAATATGGGCTCAAGAGTTGATTATGATGCTCCTGGCCACTGGTGTACAACTATGCTTTACAGTGCTGATGGAAGTAGGTAAGATTTATGAAATGAACATTATCATAGTTAATAATTTGGGAGTTGTGGAACTGAGTTTTCTTTATTTTCGCCAAGTCTAATTGTCATTGTCTATTCATATTTTTGAAATAGTCCCTTGTTAAATAAATGACGTCCATGTCTTCTTATTATTATTTTTTCAGATTGTTTTCTTGTGGCACTAGTAAAGAAGGAGAGTCTTTCCTGGTTGAATGGAATGAAAGTGAAGGAACAATAAAGAGGTCATATGTTGGGTTTAGAAAGAAATCTACTGGTGTAGTACAGTTTGATACTACACAAAATCACTTTTTGGCTGTTGGTGAAGATAGCCAGATAAAGTTTTGGGATATGGACAATGTCAATGTTCTCACTAGCACGGATGCAGAAGGTGGACTTCCGGTAAGTTGACACTGTTGATATTTTGGCTCCTCTTTCAAACACTTCAACTTTTAATTTTGGCACTTACATCATAGCATTAATTTTATTAGAGTCTTCCCCGATTGAGGTTTAGTAAGGATGGAAATCTGCTAGCTGTTACTACTGCAGACAATGGATTCAAGATACTTACTAATGCGGTAGGTCATAGATCATTAAGAGCAGTTGAAAACCCACCTTTTGAAGCACTGAGAGGGCCTATTGAATCTGCTGTTAAGGTTAGAACAAATTTTTTAGCTTGTTTGGTTGTTTAATAATCACATCCTGGTGGCTGTTCTGTTCTGAATACTGTGTTTTTTCTTCTTTGGTTAAGTATTCTGACTCCTGTGTTTGTTGGCTAGGTTTCTGCCAATTCTGCTGTTTCAAGTGTTAGTCCTGTCAATTGTAAAGTTGAAAGGAGCTCTCCTGTCAGACCTTCTCCAATCATTGTATGTTAGCTATATACTTATTTCTTATGATTTGATTTTCTTACTCCTTTCAGAAAATTATTTGTCTGTTGTGTCCTGATTATGTCAGGAACATTTTACTTTGTATAAAGTCTACCTAGTGAATGATTTTTCCTTGTGCTTTATTGTGTTTTCTTGCTTCAAATTTATTTTCTGCTTATTTTATCTTCAGCAACTTGGTCGATTTATTACTGTAAATTTTTTATCCTGGGTTTCTCTTTTAGAATGGAGTTGATCCTGCTAGTAGAAGCATGGAAAAGCCAAGAAGTGTGGACGATGTAATTGATAAAGCCAAACCTTGGCAGTTGGCTGAAATTGTGGATAGTGGCCAGTGCCGGTTAGTTACCCTGCCAGAGAGCACAGATTCATCTTGCAAGGTTTGTTGATTTCTTCTGGCAGTTTTTTGTATTGCAAAAATATTTCTTTCATTTAGTGCTTAAACGGTTACATTTGTATACAGGTTGTTAGGCTACTGTATACAAATTCTGGCGTTGGCATTTTGGCACTTGGGTCAAATGGTGTCCAGAAGCTATGGAAGTGGACCCGCACTGAACAGAACCCAAGTGGAAAGGTAATGTATTGTCTTTCTTCTGGTCCCTGCTTTAAAGAAATTTGTTAGAAAACTTTAATTTAGTATATTTATAATTGGATTTTTTTGTGGTGAAAAGATTTCTGAAGTCAGTTGGTGTTTAAAGGCCACTGCCAGTGTTGTTCCACAGCATTGGGTACCAAGCAGTGGTCTTCTTATGACTAATGATGTCTCAGGTGTCAACCTTGAAGAAGCAGTCCCTTGCATAGCACTCTCTAAGAATGACTCGTATGTAATGTCAGCTACTGGTGGAAAGGTTTCATTGTTCAACATGATGACATTCAAGGTATGGTTGCGCTTGTATGTTCTGTGAGAATGGTTAGTTTTGGCAATTTAGCACTTAATGACTTGTTTGCTTTGTAGGTAATGACCACTTTCATGTCACCTCCCCCTGCTTCAACCTTCCTAGCATTCCACCCCCAGGATAATAACATCATAGCCATTGGGATGGAGGATTCAACTATCCACATATACAATGTTCGAGTGGATGAGGTAAAATCGAAATTGAAGGGCCACCAGAAGCGTATAACTGGTTTAGCCTTCTCCACCAATCTTAATATTTTGGTTTCATCAGGTGCTGATGCTCAAGTAAGTGGAATCAGATTCTTTTTATCATTTTAATTAATAAGCTTAGGAGAGCAAATAAAACAATTATGCAAGTCAGACACGTTTTCTGTATATTCACTTCATGTACCAGTACTATAAACATGCCTTCGATCGGTTGCTTTATCATCAAATTTCATCCAACTCTGGGTTAGTATGTTTAACTATTTTGGTTTTCGTTATAATGACTAATACGGAAACTATTTTCTGCAGCTGTGTGTGTGGAGCATTGATACATGGGAGAAGAGGAAATCAATTGCAATCCAACTTCCAGCTGGAAAGGCACCTAACGGCGACACACGAGTACAATTCCATACTGATCAAATCCGCATGCTTGTAGTTCATGAGACACAACTAGCAATATATGATGCCTCCAAGATGGAACGAATTCGGCAGGTATGTCTTTGACTTGAATATCAAACTATATATTGGTATCGACAAAATGATGATATTCATATGCATTTCTTCATTGCAGTGGGTACCACAAGACACGTTGTCCGCGCCGATATCTTGTGCAACATACTCTTGTTATAGCCAATTTGTTTATGCTACCTTTTGTGATGGTAACGTTGGCGTGTTTGATGCCGAAACCCTCAGGCTAAGATGCAATATTGCTCCATCGGCATATATGTCCACATCAATCTTGAACGGGTAAGTCGAGGCATCATCGCTTAATCTTACAATATACATCAACTACATAAAACTTTCGACAACTTCTTAAATTACATTCTGGGGGTATGAGCTGACAAGATTGTATTGTATTAACATTTGGTAATGGGTTCGCTATCTTACAGAAGCCAAACTGTGCACCCGCTTGTAGTCGCTGCACATCCAATCGAACCCAACCAATTCGCTGTCGGGTTGACAGATGGATCGGTTAAAGTGTTGGAGCCCACCGAATCGGAGGGGAAGTGGGGAGTGCCTCCGCCTGTTGATAACGGGATACTGAACGGTAGGACAACATCATCGTCAACCACAAGCAACCACACACCGGATCAATTACAAAGATAAGATGAAGGCGGAGATGACTTTGTATTTAAAATGTGTGTAGATTATTAGGTTTTAGAAGTCTCCCCGTATGAATCAAAGGTAGGTAAAGTACATTACTTTATTAGATATGCACATTCTTGTATACTCAGTTGTTCTAGTCTACTTTTTGTTTCTTAACCTCTTGAGTGTTCATTGTGAATTCTTTTATTATGTTCTAATAAACATAATTCATATTAGTCATGATTCCTTAAAAATGTTTTGTACAGACTGAGATGGTATTGTATAAAATGTTTTATATTGAAAAGTTCATAAAATTTGGTAGTACCCTTAAGGGGCATCAAGTGGTGAGATTATATTCTTCATCTGAGCATTCACGAAAGGGGGTGTTTGTTTGAGCTTATAAGGTAGGTTATTGCGTTAGTCTTCTCCGTGATTACAAAAAGAAGTATCAAATTATGGGTGCACTTGGTTTATTATTTTGATATTTTTTAGAATAATATTTTGAAAAAAGTAAAATTGGGTGATTATTACGATGTAGGATTTGAAAATTAAAAAAAAAATACTCTTTTAGGTTTGTTTATTTACTAAACATCCTTATAATAAAATATTGAAAATTAACAAAAACACATTCATTCATCCATTAAATATTGATAACCGGCCACCATCGTCGGAGGGTGGTTGGAGTCACCGTATCGACGCATGATCGGCTAGAACTAGACGATTGTGCGCCAATATGGCTTTTTTCGATCAGATACATGATAGATTTGATCGAAAAAAGCTAGATCTATGATCGCATTTGGTCGTCAACGACGGCTAAAGATCTGACTGGCAACGGCTAAATTTTTTGCCATAGATCTGACCTTGTCCTACCAGATCCATATTGTGGATCTGGTCTGAAAAGACTAGATCGGTGCACTATCGGCCAGATCCAGTCGGTAGTGCACCATTATACTAGATTCTGGCTATCTTCTAGCGATGGTGGCCGGAATCTGGCAAATATGGGTTACATGAGTGTTTTTGTTAATTTTTAAATTATTTTGGGGGGTGTTTATTAAATTAATAAACTTAGAGGGGTTTAAAAGGAGTTGAATAAATGGAATAATATTTTGAGAATAGGGAAATAAGTGTGTATTTTGGATACAATATGGAATAGGGTAGGGAAAAATTGTGTTCCATAGATATTGATAATTCTTTGAACAAAGATAAAACATATATATAAAGTAAACTAAAATTAGCGAAATTATTAAGCTACATAATAAAAATACAGGTTGCGTTTGTNTTTGGTTTCATCAGGTGCTGATGCTCAAGTAAGTGGAATCAGATTCTTTTTATCATTTTAATTAATAAGCTTAGGAGAGCAAATAAAACAATTATGCAAGTCAGACACGTTTTCTGTATATTCACTTCATGTACCAGTACTATAAACATGCCTTCGATCGGTTGCTTTATCATCAAATTTCATCCAACTCTGGGTTAGTATGTTTAACTATTTTGGTTTTCGTTATAATGACTAATACGGAAACTATTTTCTGCAGCTGTGTGTGTGGAGCATTGATACATGGGAGAAGAGGAAATCAATTGCAATCCAACTTCCAGCTGGAAAGGCACCTAACGGCGACACACGAGTACAATTCCATACTGATCAAATCCGCATGCTTGTAGTTCATGAGACACAACTAGCAATATATGATGCCTCCAAGATGGAACGAATTCGGCAGGTATGTCTTTGACTTGAATATCAAACTATATATTGGTATCGACAAAATGATGATATTCATATGCATTTCTTCATTGCAGTGGGTACCACAAGACACGTTGTCCGCGCCGATATCTTGTGCAACATACTCTTGTTATAGCCAATTTGTTTATGCTACCTTTTGTGATGGTAACGTTGGCGTGTTTGATGCCGAAACCCTCAGGCTAAGATGCAATATTGCTCCATCGGCATATATGTCCACATCAATCTTGAACGGGTAAGTCGAGGCATCATCGCTTAATCTTACAATATACATCAACTACATAAAACTTTCGACAACTTCTTAAATTACATTCTGGGGGTATGAGCTGACAAGATTGTATTGTATTAACATTTGGTAATGGGTTCGCTATCTTACAGAAGCCAAACTGTGCACCCGCTTGTAGTCGCTGCACATCCAATCGAACCCAACCAATTCGCTGTCGGGTTGACAGATGGATCGGTTAAAGTGTTGGAGCCCACCGAATCGGAGGGGAAGTGGGGAGTGCCTCCGCCTGTTGATAACGGGATACTGAACGGTAGGACAACATCATCGTCAACCACAAGCAACCACACACCGGATCAATTACAAAGATAAGATGAAGGCGGAGATGACTTTGTATTTAAAATGTGTGTAGATTATTAGGTTTTAGAAGTCTCCCCGTATGAATCAAAGGTAGGTAAAGTACATTACTTTATTAGATATGCACATTCTTGTATACTCAGTTGTTCTAGTCTACTTTTTGTTTCTTAACCTCTTGAGTGTTCATTGTGAATTCTTTTATTATGTTCTAATAAACATAATTCATATTAGTCATGATTCCTTAAAAATGTTTTGTACAGACTGAGATGGTATTGTATAAAATGTTTTATATTGAAAAGTTCATAAAATTTGGTAGTACCCTTAAGGGGCATCAAGTGGTGAGATTATATTCTTCATCTGAGCATTCACGAAAGGGGGTGTTTGTTTGAGCTTATAAGGTAGGTTATTGCGTTAGTCTTCTCCGTGATTACAAAAAGAAGTATCAAATTATGGGTGCACTTGGTTTATTATTTTGATATTTTTTAGAATAATATTTTGAAAAAAGTAAAATTGGGTGATTATTACGATGTAGGATTTGAAAATTAAAAAAAAAATACTCTTTTAGGTTTGTTTATTTACTAAACATCCTTATAATAAAATATTGAAAATTAACAAAAACACATTCATTCATCCATTAAATATTGATAACCGGCCACCATCGTCGGAGGGTGGTTGGAGTCACCGTATCGACGCATGATCGGCTAGAACTAGACGATTGTGCGCCAATATGGCTTTTTTCGATCAGATACATGATAGATTTGATCGAAAAAAGCTAGATCTATGATCGCATTTGGTCGTCAACGACGGCTAAAGATCTGACTGGCAACGGCTAAATTTTTTGCCATAGATCTGACCTTGTCCTACCAGATCCATATTGTGGATCTGGTCTGAAAAGACTAGATCGGTGCACTATCGGCCAGATCCAGTCGGTAGTGCACCATTATACTAGATTCTGGCTATCTTCTAGCGATGGTGGCCGGAATCTGGCAAATATGGGTTACATGAGTGTTTTTGTTAATTTTTAAATTATTTTGGGGGGTGTTTATTAAATTAATAAACTTAGAGGGGTTTAAAAGGAGTTGAATAAATGGAATAATATTTTGAGAATAGGGAAATAAGTGTGTATTTTGGATACAATATGGAATAGGGTAGGGAAAAATTGTGTTCCATAGATATTGATAATTCTTTGAACAAAGATAAAACATATATATAAAGTAAACTAAAATTAGCGAAATTATTAAGCTACATAATAAAAATACAGGTTGCGTTTGTTTAACATTTGGGAATACTACTTTTAGTATTCCCAAAAAAGTTAAACAGTAAAATACCCAAAAATTCAGATTTTTGGGAATACTACTCCCAAAATTATTCAACTTTTTTTAAACCCCTTAAATTTGATAATTAAATTAAATACCCCTAAATATTTTTTTAAATTCAAAAATACCCCAATAATCCACATTTACCAGATTCCGGCCACCACCACCGAAAAATGGCCGGAATCTGGTAGAATGGCGCACTACCGGTTGAATCTGGCCGGCAGTGCGCCGATCTAGCCTTTTTGGCCAGATCCACGGTGGATCTGGCCGGAAAAGGCCAGATCTAAGGCCAAAGATCTGGCCGTTGACCGCCAGATCTTTGGCCGTAACACTCGGTCACGACGGCCAACAACGGTCGTCGTTGACCCTCAACGACGACCGTTGTTGGCCGTCTTGAGAGCAAATACGGCCAGATCTGGCCGGTGACGGCCAGATCTGACCGTAGATCTGGCCTTTTCCGGCCAGATCCACCGTGGATCTGGCCGGAAAAGGCCATAGCGACGCATGACCGGCAAGATCCAACCGGTCATGTGCCCATACGGATGCTCCGGCCACCTCCGTGGTGGTCGCCGGCTGGGGTGTTTGAGGGTGGGTTAGGGGTATTTTGTTAACTTTTATGTTTTATTATGGGGGGTATTTTGTAAAAAAACAAACATAAAGGAGATTTTATTAATTTATAAATTTTACCTCGTAATACCGCCCAATTCAACTTTTTTTAACTTTTTTCAAAAACTTTTCCCAAAACCCCCAAATTTTGAACCAAACGCAGCCACAGATTTTTGTCAATTTATTTTATGTACAAAAGCTTTGATCTCGTAACCGACCGCAGAATAAAATAAAGCATCAAATTATGAGATTAGATACTGATAATTCTTTGAACAAAGATAATATTTATTATATATAATATATATTATATATATAATATAATATTATATTTATATATATATATATATAAAGGAAATTAAAATTAGTGAAATTATTAAGCTATATATAAAAATACACATTTTATCAATTTATTTTACGTGCAAAAGCTTTGATCCGGATCCGGATCCGGATCGGGCTCAGAACTCTTAACCGACCAGCAGAATATCATACTACTTACTATTGCTGTCGTTTAAGCGTCACCTAACAATTCTTACCCGTAAAATCCCTAAACCTCTTTCTTTCTTCCCGAGTTGTGTACAAAATGGCGAATCGTACGGACCCGGCAGCGAAGAGCATCAGAGGAACGAATCCTCAAAACCTGGTGGAGAAGATCTGAGATCGAATATACCAGAACTTACTGGAAGGAACAATGTTTCGGATTGACGGCGGAGACGCTTGTCGACAAAGCTATGGAACTCGACCACCTTGGGAACCTTCGGCGGCAACCGGAAACCCACCCCCTTTATTTGTCTCATCATGAAAATGCTTCAAATCCAGCCGGAGAAAGACATCGTCGTGAGTTCATCAAAAACGACGATTACAAGTAAACCCTAGCAATAACTTATACATTTTCAATTTTTTTAATGATCTCATCGAAATTTTTCTGTATAATATTGAACCCGTTTGACATTTAATGTTAATTAGTTAAAAAAAAAAAAAAATGTCATCCTGTGATGTTGTACGTTAGCTAAGTTGCTAAAGTTGTTTGTTTGTTTAATATTTTAGGGTTTGCAATATTATTGGTGGTCTCAACCTTATTTACTTCCATTTACTGATTTAACTTTCAATTTAATTGTAATGAAAAATGTTTGACCTTGTTATATCTGCATTTAATTTCTTCGGCTTTGTATGTGTTTTATTGGGTGCAGTTATGTTCGTATTCTGGGTGCTTTTTACTTGCGACTTACAGGGACTGATATTGATATCTATCGTTACCTGAGCCATTGTACAATGACTATAGAAAATTGAGGCAAAGGTTACCTGATGGAAGTAGTTCAGTTTTATTAACTTATTTTTTTGCTTTTAGTTTCCTTGTTTGTTTATGGAGGGACGGTGACTTACATGTGGTTATGTTCTTTTAACTTGGATTAGATTTTTCCTTGACTCATGTAGACGAGGTAATTGATGAACTTCTGACAAAGATTATCATGTGTATTGCTATGCCCCGAATTAAGAAAGGTATGTTTTAGATGTCAATTTAATTTTCTGTTGTGAAAGTTGTTCTTTGGCTTATGTAGTGAATATAAATGTGTTATGTAATGGGTTGGTAGAAAAGAATGAACTAGGAATATTGGTGTGACTGTGAAGTATTTGTTTGGGTGATTTAGCTAGAAAGTAACAATGGGATTTTTGGTGAGATAGAGACAAAACGTTAGTGATTTATGGCACAGATTTTGCCTTTTTCTTCTTTATGGGCTTCAGTTCCTAGAGTTTTAAGAGACTCATTTTTTTTTTTCATCTCAATTGGGAAGGGTTCCTGAGTTAATTTTGTATGATTGGTTTATTTGTATGGTGGGGGGATATTTCTCACTACAAAGAGTATAGATTTGTTTCCCTTCTACTCTCTTTTTTTTTTTTTTTTTTTTTTTTTTTTTTTTGGGGACACCAAGTCCACAATTGTATCTTCTCACCTTTTCTAATTTAATACAAAGTTTATAGTTTTTTATTAGAAAAATAAAAAAAAAGAAAAGAAAAATTACTACATTTTTTTTCTTGAATTTTGGATGAAATGAGATGGCTGTTTGTTATCATATCTCCTTTTTATTGAGCAGATATAAAGTTGTCTCCATGAATTAATATGAATTTTGTGTTTGGCCCGTTTCCTCTTACCAACAGATGGAACTGGAGACCGTTGGTGCACTAGAACCTAGAAAGAGTGTTTTGGAAGATGACTTTGAAGAGGAGGAAGAGAAAGAGGAGAAGGACCAGCTTTGATGGAATGGAAGATGGGGCTTATGAAAAGGTTCACATTTCTTTCCATCTTAACAAACGCTAATCTTGCTTTTGTTTTTATTAGTTTTCTAAATTTTATTGACTTATTTATGTTCTCAACAGATATCACCATGGAGAAGCCCTGCAAGGGAAAGAGATAGGGATAGAGATAGAGACAAGACAGAGATAGAGATAGAGATAGAGATAAAGGCGTACAGTTACAGATACAGTATATAATTGTTTTTTTCATTTTTTTGGTTTTTGTGTGTTGGTCATGTGGAATGATTCTAATTTCTATGTTTATCATTTGCTTCTGGCAGAATGTTCTATCCCTACTGGGATTTCTGTATTAGTTTGACATACATTTCATTTTTTGTTTCTGCCTACGTTTTTCTTTTAATATGGAAACCGTTGTGGTCCACAAAAAGAAATTGTTAGTCGTGAACGTGTTTTTTTTTTTTTCCCTCAAAATATTAGTTTCTTGTGCTGTTTAGTCACTACAACTACTAGCTAGTGGATAATTGTCGTGGAAGCTGTCACTTAGAGATTGAGCCCCAAAGGTGGTCAAATAGTCAATTTTCTTAATTGTATCTCAATGTTGATGATTTATATCATAAAATCATTGTGTTTTCACCATGGCATTTAAAGCCATTGGTGGCTTAAACAGCTTCCTATAGAAATAATCTATGATTCTGCCAGGTTTCTCTGCACTGACAGTGTGCAGTGAGAAGTATGATGGATCAAACAAGTTTAATGCTTCTGCTAGCCTTAGTTTTATTTTTTACTTTTGATTCCGCATTTCTGTTGAAAATTTATTTTATAAGACGTACCTATTCTTTCGTTTTATAATTTATTGATGTTTGTTGGTGAATGCAATTCTTTTGCGAGAATATATATCTATCTACTTGTTTTATTGGCACAATTTTCAGTCCGTCTGTCAGGGTCTATCTTTTTACTAAGTTGAGGACTTTCAACCTTATTAATATTTTTGTTGGATGGAAGTGTAGACATTCATGTTTCTTTTCTCTCTTCACACTTTCACAGGGACCGGGATTATGATAGGGATAGGGACTATGACAGGGATCGGGACTACGATAGAGATTATGACAGGGAAAGGGGACGTGGTAGAGAAAGAGATAGGGATAGAGGGAGGGATAGAGACAGGGATCGGGATCGGTATCGATTGAGAGAAGAGAAGGAATATGGTCGTGAGAGGGAGCGAGAAAGAGAGAGGGAAGGAAGGGATCGGGACCGTGATAGGCGAGATAGGGATCGTGGGAGGCGGAGGAGCCGTTCAATGAGCCCAAGTAGGGATCGCAAGAGATATGCACGTGGCAGCATGAGTCCTAGAAGACATGCAGACGAACCAGAGGATGCCGTCACCCGTGCAGAGCCAAAGAAGAAGAAAGAGAAGAAGGAAAAGAAGGATGATGGGACAGACCATCCAGATCCAGAAATTGCTGAGGCTAACAGGATACGAGCATCCCTTGGGTTGAAACCATTGAAGTTATAATGTTACAGAAGATGTAATCTTTTGGATCTTTTGGTGTTCAGTCTATGTATACATTAACATTGGATATTGGGGCATTTTCTTGTACTATTTTGCTCATATATTCTGTAAATGCTTGTTAAGCAACGAGCTTTTTAGTTTTTATTCAACATCCCATGCTTGTTGCTTTAGCTCTCCTTCTGGATATGGCTCAACCGCCACATTCAGTATCAACAAAATCCTTCTATAACCATGTTAAGCTAACCAATATTGGCTTCGTCCCGGGATTTATGTGTAACAATGAGATTTTTATCATCTTATATAAAACAAAGTGTTATGCCATTGATGCAAACTAGGAATGGACTTGGAAACATAACCAATGCCAACGGGAACAGCATACATATATAATCACTATTTCAGGAAAAGCACGACACTATGCAGATAGATGGGTAACCATTAGAGGCTTATCTGGCTGTTAATTTTAGGGCTTCGGGAGACTAGTCGAGGTGTACGTAAGCTGACCCAGACATTTTCAGATACCAAAAAAAAAAAAAAAGTGAATTATATTTAATGCTTTACAACTTACAAGAATAGAAGAGACTGTTTTAAGTAACAATAGAACTCTCCAAACACCTAAACAATCATATAAGAAGTAAAAAGAAAACTATTCTCACCTAAAGAGATCCTTTCCTGACTATGGAATGATTTCTGGTAATAGAACTCCATCTTTATCATACTGAAGAGTACCAGAGTGATTCAGTGGCCTGCATTTTCCCCCCAGAAGGATCCTCTTCTTGCATAGCTCCTGTCCTGATCTTTCTCCATCTTCTTGATCTGTCTCTCCTGATCCCATCTTTACCGGCTTCTTTCTCATCGACCTAGCCATCTTCAACCTCTGTCGCGTCATCATAATTCTCGATGGAACCCTTGGCAAGCTTGGTGAACTCTCTTGTCTTCCAATCACAACTGCAGTTCTATTGTTGCTATCACCAGAAGTTGTATCAACTCCACCACTTGTATTAGCTTTTGTGACTTTAACACCACCACCATTCCTCTTTTTCAACAAACTCTTGAAAGATAATTGTAGCAACCCCATTTCCTCCGTCTCCACCTTCTTCAACCTCTCAGTCTCTTTCTCATCAGCTAAATCAAAAACATTCTTCCTACAAACTCTGCGATTTTCGCCATTCGCAGAACAACTCCTCTCTTCTTTACTACTTTTCTTGCGTCGGAAGAAATCCAAAAAAACCCTACCAACCTTCACTGGCAAAAGCTTTTTAGGTGCAACCCTTTTCTTAATCTTACCATCATCATCATCATCATCACCATTGTCATTAGCATCCTTGAAAGATTCATCTTCCCTTGTTGATCTTCTTTGCATGGTCTTCAAAACCACCTTAGGAATCTTGACTCTTACCCTTGGTTGAGAAATGTTCATGCTAAAAAAGTATGAAAAATGAGAGCTTTGTTTCAACTTGGTAGAATCAACAACATCCCTACAACTATCATTCCTATATTTCTTGTAACTAGTAGCTGCCATTGTTGCTTATTTCAAAGCTTGAAACTCAAAAATGAAAATGAAAATGAAAAAAATGAACAAGTCCAAATAGTGGAAGAAATGGAGATGTACGTGGGCTTAGGAGTTGCAATTTTTGTGGGATTATGCAATCTTTAATCTCCCATTTTTACCTCTAAATTTGTTATTAATTTGATATTAGTTAGAGGGTTAATTAGTAAATTAAGGGTTTTGGAGATACAATACTAGTACTCTTCTTCCTCCCTCCCTCAAATATTTTTACCCACACAAGATTTGGCAAATCTACAGTTTCCACCTATGTTTTCATAAATTGCAAATTCCCACCTAATCTTAAACTTTGGTAATGTAAATTTTGTTTTGACCAGTTAAATACCCTTTTTACCCCTTATTATAATGATGAGTAAATTAATAAATTTCGCTTTGACCAGGTTTGGCTGTTGGTGGTGGTGGAGTTGCAGGCGAAGAGGAAAGGTTGGGTTGTGAGAAAATTTTGAGATGTGGAGGGTTACTTTGAAATTTTAGTAATACGGGGGAGTGAGAGAGATAGGGTTTACTTTTTTTTTTTTTTTTGGGATAAAAGACCTAAATACCTCTTTAACCATTAAATCTAATGTTTGAAATTTAAAATTGGGTGATAATTTACAATTTATAAAACCACGGGTGGAAACTTGTAAATTCACCCAACCTTGGGTGTGTAAATGTTTTATTACTTGATTTACTTCGAACAAAATGAAAGATTTTAAGAAACCTTTTTTTAAAATAAAGAAACAATAATTATAAGAAAATTTCAACCCTTTTAGATTTTCTAAATCTTAAACTTACAAATCAAATCCATCTTATAAATTACAATCCCCTGAAATTTGAGGGTTTGCTATAACACTTTCTAAGCTCTATAAGAGAGTCCAAATTTTCTTTTCTATTTTCTTTATATCAACGTCGAATTGGTCAATAAAATTTTCAAATATCGTTTCAAGATCGTATAAAAAGTGTTACAATACATAAAAATTATTATGTATTATTATTATTATTATTTTGAAAAAGAGTATATGGGCCACCAGAGATCTTTCACGGCCCAATAAAAGAATGGGCTATTATTGGGCCTTTTACGAAGCCCACCATTCGTTAACACAGACCTGACCCAAAAAACGCAAAACTGTTGAATCCTATTTGGGTTATGCAATGAAAGTATGCTAAAACCCTAAGCTTGGCTATTCTTTATCTTCTAGTTACACACGATACTCTTCGTTAGAAGGAGCGGCCACTCTCTCACAGTGTCGTTCAGGTGGGTTTCAATCTCTTTCTCTCCGTCTTCCTCTCTGTGTGTCCAACGCCGTATCTAATGTTCTATGTGTTTTTTATTAAACTGAGTTGCTTTGACTGATTAAGTTATTTTCTTATTGTTATTGATTTTTTTCCGATATAATCCGACGAGAATCAGAATAATACGACTTTTGGGATCTAGTTTTGTGTTTTTATATTGATTTATGGGTTAAAGTTTGAATTTTATGCAAAAATCAATTAATATTGGATAAATCTCAAGTGGCTCGGTGAGCTTAGGGTTAGATTTGCCCTATTTATCTTTTTACGTGTATTTGATTTTTCCTGTGGGAAGGATCTTAATTTGGTTTTATAGATTGGTTTCTTACGTTTGGAGTTTTGATATTTTGTTGTATAAGAATTATATTATGTGAAAACAACATAGAATATGTAATGCTTGGAAGATACACAGCTGTTTTAACTTTTTTTTTTTTTTTTTTAATAGCTGAATGTGTTACCTTGCATGATCCATAACGTTGTTCTAATGGGGTTTCTTGGTTCAGGTTTTTAATTGAGATAATTGGATTTATTTATTGAGTGGGCTGCAAATTTGGATCCGTCATGTCGAATTATGCCAAACCTGAGGCTGCATTAAATCAGGCTGAAGGTAGCGATAATTTCTAATTTCCTTTATGTATTCTAGAAGTTCTTATTGCTCTCAGTGTGTGTCGATGTCGGTTTTAGTGTATCTTTTGTTAGCCTTTTGCTTCATGTCGCATTCTGTAAACTTTGCCTTGATTTGGTGTGCTTGAACTGAATTTTGTAATATCTGGGTACAGCCCTGATCAATGTTGGGCAGAAGCAAGATGCATTGCAAGTGCTTCATGATCTGATTACTTCAAAGAGACACCGGGCATGGCAAAAGATACTTGAAAAGATTATGTTCAAGTATGTAGAGCTTTGTGTTGATATGAGGAGAGGTAAGTTTGCCAAGGATGGTCTGATTCAATACCGTATAGTTTGCCAACAAGTGAATGTCACTTCCTTGGAGGAGGTTATCAAGCACTTTATGCACCTCTCTACTGAGAAGGCTGAGCAGGCTCGTAATCAGGCACAAGCCTTAGAAGAAGCGCTTGATGTGGATGACCTAGAAGCAGATAAAAGGCCAGAAGACCTAATGCTTAGTTATGTCAGTGGAGAGAAGGGAAAGGATAGGTCTGATCGTGAACTTGTTACTCCTTGGTTCAAATTCTTGTGGGAGACTTACAGAACAGTGCTTGAAATATTACGGAACAACTCAAAGCTTGAGGCACTCTATGCGGTAGAATTTCTTTGGATGCGCTGGTTGATTCTTTTTATTAAATATTTAATTGATATGCTTTTGGGTAGAGATGGAATTTTAATTTGCTTCCAATGTCTTGTCTAGATGACTGCACACCGAGCCTTCCAGTTCTGCAAGCAATATAAGCGGACAACTGAATTTCGTAGACTGTGTGAAATTATCAGGAACCATTTGATGAACCTTAACAAATACAGAGATCAAAGGGACCGACCTGATCTCTCAGCTCCAGAGAGTTTGCAACTCTATCTTGACACTAGATTTGAACAGCTAAAGATTGCCACTGACCTCCAGCTCTGGCAGGTTTGAATTATTTTCTTAAATAATTATATTATATTTATATCCTTGAAGGGCAGGGATGCCTTCTTGAAAACTGTGTTTTGTAATAGACAACTCTTACATTTCTTTCATTTTCACCTTCTCGACTGTTGCCTGCAGGAAGCTTTTTATTCCATTGAAGATATTTATGGACTGATGTGCATGGTTAAGAAAACACCCAAACCTTCTTTGCTGGTTGTTTACTATGCCAAGTTAACAGAGATTTTCTGGATTTCTTCAAGCCATCTTTATCATGCTTATGCATGGTTTAAGCTTTTTACACTTCAAAAGACCTACAATAAGAACCTGAGCCTAAAGGATTTGCAACTGATAGCCTCATCTGTCGTTTTGGCTGCACTTTTAGTGCTCCCTTATGATCATACCCATGGTGCATCTCATTTGGAACTTGAGAACGCCAAGGAGCGCAACTCGAGGATGGCCAATCTGATAGGATTTGAGCTTGACCCAAAACTTGATAATAGAGAAATGGTAATCTGATATTTTCAGTTGGATTGTCTGCATTCTTTCGTGGTTTATGTTTTTGTTCTTCTAATGATTTGCACTCTTGCAGCTTTCAAGATCAGCCCTTCTCTCAGAATTGGTAAGTTCAAATTGATCAGATTCTTTTATGGCCTTTATATTCTAGGGTTATTGCCTATTTAAGTACTGATGTTTTGATTGTGATAAATGAGACAATTTTTATAGCAGGATGCACAAATCTTTTCAAACTTTACCTGTTAAGTTAACTTTATGTACTGTCAGCCGTTGTTTCTTTTTATCCACAAAAAATTGTTAACAATTACTTTTTTAGTTCAGTTGGCCTTTGAAAAGGGAAACAAAATTCTCTTTTTGTTTTTGCCTTGTTTATTCATGATATAGTGAATATATTGGTCTTTTACAAAATAAAGGTATCTGAAGCCTCCAACCTTCACGTCTTAATAAAAAATGATACAAACACAAATTGTGGCCCTGAATCTGTACAAGAAAATGGAGTTATGTGCATATATTGGTGCTTGTATAGATTCTACAATGATCATATTAGTTTTTGTATCTGTTCTCTAATTTGGTTTTGCTTTTCATTAGGTTGCCAAGGGTGTACTGAGTTGTGCAACTCAGGAAGTAAAAGATCTGTACCACCTTTTGGAGCATGAGTTTTTCCCTCTAGATCTTGCCTCAAAGGTACAGCCACTTTTGGCAAAAATTTCAAAGTTAGGTGGTAAGCTTGGTTCAGCTTCCTCTGTACCAGAGGTGCAGCTGTCCCGATATGTTCCAGCCCTTGAAAAGCTTGTTATCCTGAGGTTGCTTCAGCAGGTAAACTCATGTTTTTGTTTCTTCATGTTATTGCTTTTATGTGTACCCTTCTCTTAGGTCATTGACACTTTGTGCTTTTCAATCTTCCCCTATGGTTTTCCAGGTATCTCAGGTTTATCAGATAATGAAAATTGAGAGTTTATCTCAGATGATTCCCTTTTTTGATTTCAAAGTGGTGGAGAAGATTTCCGTTGATGCTGTAAAATATAATTTCATGGCTATGAAAGTTGACCATATGAGGGGTGTTGTTTTGTTTGGTAATTTGGTAAGTTCTGTGCTCTGTGCTCATACTTTTGTGGATGTTCTGTCAAATAGATAATGCAATTATTTGATGGACTGTTTGCTGTAGAATTATGTCAATATACTTGGCGTAACAGTGAGGGGAAAATGAACTGATTTTCTGGATTTGATAATTGATGAGATTCGGATTTGCTTGTTGTGAACATGTTTTAGGGGTATGGTTATTAGTTCATGCCATCCAACTTTATACTTTCATTTGGACTATCTGTAATTGGATGAATATTTTTGACTCATGAAACTAATAACTGCTGAATTGAGAGAAAAACTTGTGAAATTGAATGAAGTATGCAGTCAACTATTTATGTCTCACTGTCCTTGTCCCTTTTGTTTGTCCTAGATTTGGAGCTTTTTGCTTGTCAAATATTACTACTGCAGTTTACACTATGATTTAATTTTGTTCATTGGTATGGCTTTTTCAGGGTCTTGAATCTGATGGTCTGAGGGATCACTTGGCTGTTCTTGCTGAGTCTTTAAATAAAGTGAGGGCCATGATATATCCTCCTGCAAATAAAGCTTCAAAACTAGGTGAATTGTTACCTGGTTTAGGGGAGACTGTTGATAAGGAGCATAAGAGACTTCTTGCTAGAAAATCAATCATTGAGAAAAGGAAGGAAGAACATGAACGTCAACTTATTGAAATGGTATCACCACCAAATTGTTTCATGAAATTAATGACTTGCTTTTTGATCTTTAATTAAGTCTATTATTAAATGAATCTTGATCATTTCTTTTTTCTTTTGTTCAATCTTCAAGGAACGTGAGGAGGAGTCAAGGAGGCTAAAGCAACAGAAAATAACAGAAGAGGCTGAGCAGAAGAGGCTTGCTGCTGAGTACGAGCAAAGGAAAAGTCAAAGAATTCTAAGGGAAATAGAGGAGCGTGAACTTGAAGAAGCTCAGGCACTACTTGAGGAAGCTGAGAAGCGCAGTAAAAAGAAGGGAGGCAAAAAGCCAATTTTGGAGGGAGTGAGTTGAAATTTTGGCACTTTTTTTTGGAGGGGATGTTATTGCCAGGAAATGTTGACAATTCTATGTCATTTGTATCAAATGCAGGAGAAAGTTACAAAACAAACTTTGATGGAGCGGGCTTTGACTGAGCAACTTAGGGAGAGGCAGGAAATGGAGAAAAAGTTACAAAAATTAGCCAAAACTATGGATTATCTGGAAAGGGCAAAAAGAGAAGAGGCTGCTCCCTTGATTGAAGCCGCTTTTCAGCGACGGTTGGTGGAAGAGAAGGTGCTTCATGAACGTGAACAACAGGTATATGTTGATATATATATATACTGTGTTTCTTAAGAAGTTTAATCAATGCTTGTGTATTTTCATATCTGCCCTTTCTTTTGTGGTATTATATGCTTGTTTCGCTTGGCCTTATGGATTGTGAGTGGTTTCTTTTTAAAATTTCTTACCTTCCACTGAGGAAGTGTTATTATTTTTCCTCCTTTGCAGCTAGAGACTGAACTCAGCAGACAACGTCACGACGGGGACCTCAAAGAAAAGAATAGACTTTCTAGGATGTTGGATAATAAGGTCAGTGCCAAGTGTAGTCTTTGAGTTTGTGCTCATGGAGTAGAGAACTGACTTGCTCATTAGATCCTTTTCTATTTCATCCAACTCCTACAGTTTGTGAGGCTGGGGTTAGGCTTTGCCACTGAAACAAAATTTGGTTTCTGTTCTTTCTCAGGAAAAATTCCAGGAAAGAGTATTGAACCGTCGTAAAGCAGAGTTTGACAGGCGCAGAGTAGAGAGGGAGGAAAGAATCAACCAAATTATTCAGGCACGCAAACAGGAGAGGGAGGCAATGAGAAAGAAAATATACTATGTTAGGTGTGAAGAAGAAAGACTGAAAAAGCTACGTGAGGAGGAAGAGGCTCGTAAGTGGGAAGGTAAATATATTTACAAATGATTTAATATTCGTATAGATTTTATAATTTTAATTTTTTAATGTAATGGTTACTTCTCTGACATGCAGAGGCTGAGAAACGAAGAAAAGAAGAAGCCGAACGCAAGGCAAAATTAGACGAGATTGCTGAAAAGCAGAGGCAAAGAGAGCGGGAATTGGAAGAGAAGGAAAAGCTGAGAAGAGAAGCTCTCTTGGGGAGACCAGCTGATGTGCCCGCCAAGCCTTTTGAGCTTCCTGCTCGTGCATCGGAGCCTGGAACTACTGCTCCAGCTGCAGCTGCTGCTGCGCCATCTGCTGGAAAATATGTTCCCAAATTCTTGCGTGAGAGAACTGAGGGTTCAGGGCAACCGCCACCTACTCAACCTGATCGGTGGGTTGGCGGCAGGCGAACTGAAGGCTTTGGTCAGGCCCCACCAGAATCTGATCGATGGAGCAGGAGAACCGAAGGCACTGCCCCTGTATCAGAATCTGATCGGTGGGGTAGCAATGGCAGGCCAGATGATCGTGCAGCCCCACCTAGTGATAGGTGGCGAAGTGGTGGTAGTTCGAGACCAAGTTGGTCATCTTCTCGTAACCCACCACGCTGATCTGAACTCTGATCATGGATTAATCTGGCTGATGGTTAAAATGGGGCTAATTTGGTGATGTGCTCAAATGCTGATGATGGATTTTTGTGATAGCTCAAGGATGTCTTTGGCAAATCTGAGGAAATAATCATGGCTATAAATTTTGAGAGCATGAGACTTGGTAGAGTTGATTGTTTTATTTTTCTTTTATCAATATTTTTCTTGTATGACAAGCCTGCGAAATATTTATTCTAGACTTGGAACGCTCAAGACTTGGTGTAGAGTTTGCTGCATACTCAGACTTGTTACGGTTTGTTTGGTTATGTTATGTTTTGCATCAAGTATATGACAAATCCAGAGCTGATTTTCCTCATGCTGTTATAAATGTCAATCAAGTGTTTTCGTCAATCTGACTCTCCTCTAGCTGTATAAAAAGTAAATAGTAGCCGTTGCCAAGATATGTATGAAGTTTCTTTTAATCAGCTGGTAGCTTTGTTTTGATTTTTTGATTTTCTGATTTTCTTAAGTATGAATTATCTTAATGGAATATCCTCAGACTACAATTTAATTTCACAACCTTAACTCCGAAGTCATAACCTTTGACATGTTACTTTGTCATTGGTCAGCTTATAAAATGAGTTCTGTCTCTTTTAATGAGTTCTTTGTCTATCTATAAGTTAATTAATGACGGATTATTATGTTGAAATTGTAAAAGAAGGTTTTAGATTTCGTATTATTGATCTTAAACCGGGGTAAATCTCATATATGAATTTGTCCCATGAATACTGATCGAAAGTTTTAATTAAGAAGTAAAATTACAAAGAAGAATTCCTTATCATCAACAAAAAAATAGAGGGAAATCTATTTTTTCTTGAAGAGTAAACACTCTAGTCAGGACTGCATTTAATATAGAAGTGCGCACTTAGCCCAGTAAAAGATATGCAAGCACCTTTGAATTGATAATCCACAGCCCAACGACTGCATAAACAAATCTTACATAAAACGGGTCAACCCATGACCCGGGATTAACCTCTTAAACCCTTCTGCTCCCCCTTTCCTTCCATTCTCTTTTACACAGAACTTCCAAGTGATCGCCGCTAGTCAGTTGTCTGAGAATGAGTTCACTCGCCGCTAAACTTGCTAAGTCATTAAGAGTCTCTGTCCCTACTACGCCCTTCTCTACTCTAGGTTTCTCTCTCACTCTCTCCTTCTCTCTTAATAGTATGAGTTTTTTGTGTTATAATCCAGTTACTGGAGTGTTTTTTCTGCTATTATCAGTTGATGAAACTTGGAATTTAGTTGCTTTTTTACATGATTTTTTTTTTTCTGGGTTTAGATAAAAAAAACCACTTTGAATGAAATATTATATGGATATATGCTCTCTCCTTCTCTCTCATATTACGAGTTTTTTATGTTATAACTCAATAAGTGGAGTATATGAAACTTGGACATTAGCTGCTTTTGTACATGATTTTTTCTGGGATTATGAAGTAAAAAACAATTTGAATTTCTTTTTATGGATATTTGCTCTCTCCCTCTCTGTGATACTCATGATTTTTTGTGTATGATTTAATGAGCGAATGGTTTTGTAAATTATAAAAAACTTGGGGTCCTGGTGCTTTTGTACATGAGTTTTTCTGGGTTTGGATAAAAAAAACCATTTTGATTAACATCTTACATGGATATATGCTTACTCCCTCTGTATGATATCAGTGATTTTTTGTGTATAATTTAATCAGCGAATGGTTTTCTGGAATTATTAGTTGATAAATTTGGAATTTATATATTTCTTTTCATGGATATGTACACGTCTCACTCATTCTCCGTCACACTTTTTTTTTTTTTTTGGACTTATTAGTTGATAAGACTTGGAATGTAGGTACTCTATTACATGTGTTTTTCTGGGTTTAGATAAAAATAAAAATTTGATGATATTTTAGAGGGATATATAGTCTCTACCTCTGAATGATATTTGTGATTTTTGGTGCTTCTAATTTGATAAGTGAATGGTTTTGTGGAATTTTTAGTTGATAAATCAGGAATTTAGGTACTTTTTTTTACATGGGTTTGTATCAAATAATCGTTTTTGAGTAACATTTTACCTGAATATAAATAACATTTTATATAAATATAAATATGAATGCTTCATGTTTATTATTTGCGTGTGTGTGTTTTTCTCCATATATTTACAATTAAATGGATTTTTTTTTTTTAATATTTATTATTAGATTGAAACGTTGTTTTGAATAACATCTGCTGATTCACTTTTACTTAACCACATTTTTTTGCTTACTGGGAAATTTTATCAAACAGTTCATGTAGTGGATTTTCTTAGATAAAACCATGAATGCATATCTTGAATTAGTAGTTTTTATTCTAAGATGTTACTAATTTGGGATGAAATTTTGTTTTCATTTTAGGGGTGGGTGTGCAAAGGAGCTCAATGATGTGGTATTCAAGTGAGTCTCTTGATGGCAAAGATGGTCAGAAGAGTGATGAAATTGAAGAAGAGTTTGATGATTATCTTGATGTAAAGCCTGAGTTACAACCCCAAGGTGTGGATCCAAAAAGGGGTTGGAATTTCCGCGGTGTGCATAAGGTATTTAATGTAACTTTATTCTCTTATGAAGAAATAATTTCTTCAATATAATTGACTTTTTGATCTTTTTTCTTATGATTGGATAGGACAAGTGTTGACATCACATATGGCTATTGTTGAAAACTGAAGCTCTTATTACTAATGATGGAATCGAGTAATTATTGGGTAGTTTGATATGATGTTGATTTTTTATCTTTCCAGTGATAATTTGCAATGAAGATTGTAAAGCAAGGAGCCTTTACATTTCACTTGTCATTTTAACAAGTCATGACCCTTCATTTCTTTGCTTGAAAATGTTATGAAATAGAAGAAATCATATTTTTAATCTTGATTTCTGCACATATTGTGAACCTAGAATCGAAAATTTATGTTGAATTTATTTCAATCATTCTGTCTATGTTAAATTTATGATCTTTGTGATTGGAAAGCTAGAACAACCCTCAGTTTTTTTTTTTTTTCTCTCCTGGGAATTATTCTCCATTCTCTCTGCAATTGAAATATGGTTAGAAAATTAACATAGGTTGCCTGTTTTTCTTCTTAGATGAATATTTTAACTATAGTTGTAGTGATTTGTTTCAGGCAATTATTTGTGGAAGAGTTAAAGAATCTCCTGTGCAAAAAATATTGAGAAATGGCCGAACTGTAACCATCTTTTCAGTTGGAACGGGGGGAATGTTTGACCAAAGACAGGTAGGAGCAAAAGACTTGCCGAAACCTGCCCAGTGGCATAGAATTGCTGTGCATAATGAATCACTTGGGGCTTATGCAGTTCAACAACTTGCTAAAAAGTATGCATCCATGTTTTAAGAAAGCCAATTATGCTTATTAAATAAATATGCAAAGAACACTTTTCCTATAATGTTTTGGTCTAATGAATGGAGATTTGACACAGCTCTTCAGTTTATGTTGAGGGTGACATTGAAACCAGAGTTTACAATGACAGCATTAATGGTGAAGTTAAGAATGTCCCAGAGATATGTGTTCGTAATGATGGTAGTTGCCTTCCGTTGCCTGTTCTTCTCTTATTGTTTTATGCGTCTTCTTGGTAAAATTTGTATTGTTTTCTTAATACAATTAATTCATAATATTTCCCTGCTTACTTTCTTTTAAGTGATAAGCTCCGAATAAAACTATTTTGATTATTGCCCATTCTTTGATTTTACGTATAAAAATGGACATATTTTCATTAAGGTAAGAAAGCTTGACTGAAAGTTCTGAAAGAAAGAGAGATCTATATCTGCAAATCTCTGCTAATATAATATGGAGATGAGGAATACATTGGTGTTGCATAGACATATCCTCATGTATTCTTCACTGAAAATTTGGTTTAATTGCAATAAGTTTGCTCTACATCCACATCACTTAGTCTTCTGTTTCCATTGGAGTAAAGAAAGACAATTTTGCTTCCATTTCACCTAGTAATGTGCTGTTCTATTAATTTATTAATTTTTTGGAGCAGAGATAGGTTAACAGTTTACTGAAAAAATGATCTAGGGATCTGAAATAGATGGCCTTATTATTTGTATTGATGTACTTTTGTGAAGGAAGAAACATAATCAAATCTAGTGTTAAACAAGATTACAACATGTCATGTAGAAATCCAAATATAGGAATGCAGTACACCAAAGGAAACTTCCTTAATCCCTTTTAATATCAGTGTTTAGCATGGTTTAACACTATCTTTTTCTTTCCTATTCTGAGAGCGTCGGGTGGGTACTGTGGAGTTCTTATCATCCACACGAATTAATTTGTAGATTGCTGGAAAGTGTAATATACTTAACCATGATGCTGTGCATTGTGTGGTTCTCACCAGGTTGTTTTCTAATTTATCTTCTGCAGGAACAATTCGCCTTGTAAAGACTGGGGAAAGCATCAGCAGTATATCCTTTGAGGATTTACGTAAGTTCTCTTCTCTCAGCAATGCATGCAAATGATTACATGGGCCACCAGTGTGGCACTACCTTTCTTAAAAATGCTCAATTTGATTGAGGTCAATGATTTTTCCGGAAGCTATTTCTTCTGAATCTAGTAGGAATCTTTGGTAGTAAAATTTTCACTTCTAATTTCTTGACCATGTGATCCACACACTTTATCTTACTGGCAGGAGAAGGATTGCTTTAGCTGAAAGTCAGTAGACACATTGTGGAAAAGTTATTTGTGGAAAGTGAAAGCAGCTGGAGCTTCTAACTTTTGTAAGAAATACATAATTTTAGGTTGTCTAATTATAACCGTCCAAGACAAATGATGGTTTAGTTGTTTATTGTTTCTGTTTATGACCTGGTTTTTAGGTTATCTTTTCCTCCCTTATTTTATCCTCTGAAAGCAATTATTGCTGCCTTTTCTCTCTTATTCTTTCAGAATAAAAAGGTAAATTTATTGAAGGGATTTGATACGATATTTGTAAACCATTAGTAGGATTAATAGTCAGATACTTGCAGAATGTTTTGTGCCTCTTTTTGGCTTCATTTTTTACTCGCTTAATGCAGTGTGATTCTTTTGTAATCAGAATTTTCATTTTAGTTATGCTATTGATGTTAGAAAATAAATAACTTTTATCTCTAGCAGGGGCATCTGTTAGTAAGCAGATATTCGGTTGCTTTATGAGCCATTTCAGCCTAAAATTTCCAGTGAATAGAAGAGTTTCATCTCTTTTATTTTCAGGGTAATTTGTAACCTATCCTGGTAGTATCAAGAATCTGTGTAACTTGAATTGACCTAAGTCATTAGGATTTAGGTTTCAACCTACAAAATAGTAGGTTACACAATACAAAAAGCATAATACGTATTATATTGCGAGTGAAAAATTACATGTCATAAATAAGCATTATCACTATACAAAATCAGTATGCTGATGCATATGTAGTTTATTTTGCATGCAAAGGCTTACTATTTTCAATTTTTTAAAGCAAGCCTACTGCTAGACTGTTGCCTGTGTAAAAACAATGCTGAGAACTCCTTTACCCAATGTCCCCTTTAAAGTAAAACATTTCTGTCTCTCTCCCTCCTTTTTTTGTTTGTGGAAGGTTGATTTCTTTTATGATGCCATTTCTTTTTATCTTCTTTTGAAGGCAACTGATGTACAAGCATTTAGAGAAGTGTCTATTTTATTGCTCTTATTATAGTCTCAATAGTAAATACTACAGATTGTTGCATAGTTTAATAAGGCTCCGGCACTTGTTTGCAGACCAGGAGAACTCAATTTAACCAGATTTTATGTAGGATTGAGGTACTGAACACAGACTAACAAAAAGATAGCACCTTTATTAGTTTTAAGTCTTCTATCAGTACAAAACTTTGATAGTTGGTAGCATTTGTGTTCTCATTTCTTTTAACCTTTATCCTTTGACATCATTAAATTCTGTGTTCCAGCATTTTAAGGTGCATCCCATGTTTCAAGTTTATTGATGCTTGAGTTGAGGGCTCTGCGTATGATGTGAAACAGTCATTATCTTTGATGTACTGAGTTATGCTTGGGAAATTTGTTTGCATGTAATTTCCAGTTAGTAAATGACTTGATGATATAAACACTTCTCGCAAATTACTAAAAGATTTTATTATTATCCATTTCGAAGAAGTTGATTATGGTATGTTAAATTCTACTATGATGATTTCAGATGATGTTATCATGAGTAATCTGTGATTTAATATCCTGTGTAGCTTTGTTGAGCGTCTGTCACTTTATAGCTTTTAACAAATGTTGGAGTCATTTAAGTGATTATGGTTGGGCATATTATCAACTGTTGTCTTATAGGATACCCTGTGATTATATTAGTTGTTAATATGCACTATTAAAGTTCTGTTGACCTAGCAAGCATTGCCACATCTGCACATTAATGTTTTAATATGCGAAATCAAATAGCCTAACACTACCTTTTGAACTTGGTCTGTTTGTCCTTACCTCTTTTAACCAACCCAACTATTTTTTATCACTTGATATGGACAACTTTAGAAAATGGGATCCCCTCAAAGGCCAAATGGCCCCTTGATATTCTAAACAAGGAAAGTGGAATCCAAGTGCCAGTTTGTTTATTCCTTAATTTCCTGATGTGTGCTTAAAGAATCATTTGATAACTATAAAAGGAATCCACAGAACAGGATGAAATCCTATGGTGGTACAGACTTACATGCTTGCTTTTCTTCTTGCACATAGCACTTGTGTTACTTTATATAGATTATGCACCCTTCTGCAAAGTTCTGATTAACATGAATGTTCAATTTCCTCTAGTTGTTTTCTATCCTTTTATCCTGTGGTTTAAACTTAACTATTTGCCTATTAATCGAAATCACAGATCCTATTATTGTCGACTTTCAAGAGGCTCTGCGATGCTTGGTGGATGACCAGATGGTGTTTGCAGTCATTTGATATTTTTGACACATTCAGTCATGACCGTTGCTTTAATTGTTGCTGTATCTGTCCTATGGTGTTTTCTGTTTTACTTGCTATATTGGGTGACTGTCACTGTTTCTTTTGTTAATCATTGCGCTCTTCAGGTATATTGAAACCAGACTAATGACTGAATTATTGTACGACAGACAAGCAAGCTTTGTAGTTTAATATTCAATAACAGATTCAGTTGGGCAACTTGTTAGTTTATTATTCGATAACAGTATCAGTTGGGCAACTTGGTAGTTTATTATTCGATAACAGTATCAGTTGGGCAACTTGGTAGTTTATTATTCGATAACAGTATCTGTTGGGTGGAACAAGTTATAGCTAATTAGCTTCAAACTTCATGCAGGTCACATAAACTTTATAGCTATTTAAATAATTTGTTATTGTGATGCCAACATTTCAGACATACTGACGTGTCTAGTCACTGGTTAAGTGGAAATGCACCAAGGAAACTGCAACTTTGATTGGCTTTTGTATTCTTTTTTTGGCTCTCTTTTCATGTGTTGGGAAGATTACATAGCTGTATTTTGTAGTTCTGTTTTCACAGCTCAGTCATAAATGTTGTATAAATGGGTGCTTAGTTCTTAGTTTTTCTTGCTTCATTTGAACATTAGCCCTAGTTTCAGGTCTTGTGAAAATGGTGCTTATGATATTTTTCATACTCACCTTAATATCCCACGTTTCAGGCCATGATGCTTGCCCGAAATGTGGCAGCATTGAAGTTCCATATCCCCTTAGCACCAATGAAAACTGTGGAGACCGCAGGTATAAAGTGTTTTGCAACAATGACATTCTGCAGTTTCATTCAGCTGAGGATTTTTCCTATAATATCATCAGTATTAATCCCAGTGCTTATAAGCTTGTTATTAGCCCTCCTTCGATAGCCAAAAACACTTGTTACTCTTCTGATTTTTCTTTTGGAGGCTTTAGGCTCAACGATGATTCACCCTTTAATATATCTACTCATAACACAGTCATGTTATTTAACTGCTCTGATAATATTCTTCTCTCACCATTGAACTGCTCTTCGACTAGCTTCTGTAGGCAGTTTGAGGAGAAAGTTCAGGCAGGAAGCGGGTGTGCAGGTACTCTTTGCTGCCATTTCTTGAAAGATTCAGCCATGACTTCTCATAGGATTAGGGTCAGGGATGGAGGTTGCACTGCTTATACTTGTGTAGTTGATTTGAACCCTGGAGATACCACTGATTCCTGGAACTACGGCATTGAGCTGCAATGGTTGCCTCCCAACTAAGCTGCAGTTCTAAAGACAAGACCATTCAGTGTTACGTCTTGTGTAAAGCAGCTGTTTCTTTTCATTTGCAAAAAGGGTATCTTTATCTTTAACTGGAAAAGTCTTCGCTTCACCTGTTTGTTTGTTTACTAAAAATCTCAGTTGCGCATCTGCTTACTTTTTTTTTCCTCCATATAAAGTGAATACATGTCGAATGAATACGTATTAAATAGAAAACAGATGACATGATACCCCCGTCTCACTCTAGACTTTCTCGTTATATATAGAATCGTGAACCTTTTGACAAATAGAGACAACCTTTTTCCACAACGACGTTGTACGTCATGACTGGTCATGAGCATCCGAATGCCAGTGGACGGGGAAGAGGCATCAAATTTCTATATTTTTGTTCTATTTACATATTATGTTTGTGTTTACATGCTTGTCCAGCACTAAGGGTTTGTATGTTAAAAGTTTCTTGTTTTGTTAAATGAATGATCTTCCTCATGTTCCCTTTTCATGTTATCAAGTGCATCTCTTTATCCTGCTTGAATGATCTTCCTCATGTTCCTTTAGTTAAATGAATGAATCCCATGCAGTGGTTCTGACACTATTATATTTATATATGGATATGGTATTGGAATCAGGCTGCAATGGAGCTGAGCCCCTTTTCTGGTTTTGAATTTTTTTAAGGTAAAAAAGCACGAAGATATCCAGTAAGTAATGGAAAGTTACACTTCCAACAAATAAGCTACTTAATTATGAGAGAGACTCTGCTAAAGTTTACTTATACAACCCTATGATTGGTCCAATAAAGTTTGCAGAGTATAGAATCGACAGTGTTATCCAAATCCTGAAAGTTGAATACTCTGTTAAAACATTGTAAAATGAGCTTGAAGACCAAATGACTACATTCAATTAAGCCATTATGATTCTCTTTAATTGTATATAACTATATATCATCAAGGTAACACTACGATTACAATAAAATCTCACAAACTTTCTCTCACCTCACAAACTTTTTTTCACAGTCCTGAGATGATAGCTTGCAAAGGAGTTTTACCTGTTCACTGTGAGACTTTCTCTCTCCTCACAAATTTTCTTTCACAGTCCTGAGATAATAGCTTGCAAATGAGTTTTATCTGTTCGTTGTGAACTCCGTTTGCCCATTTGCAAATTGACCAATTGCAAGTTATTAAGGATTGTTAAAAAAGGTTTATACGATTAGATTGTATGCTGATCTTTATTCAATTGGATTATAATATAAACAATCAAAATTCTATTACAATCTGGCTTGTAAGGGGACTCCTACTAGGAGAAAAAGTAGCTTCAACCTTCAATTTTACAAGTTAATAATAAGCATCGTCTTTGTGCTGCTTTTTTACAAACTTCTGACAAACAAGAAAAATAAGAGGTAAAAAGAGAAAATGGTTTATTGACAATTTTTGGAGTGAGAGATCCATAGGAAATATTCCACAGATTACAGACTTAAAAAAAAAAAAAAAAAAGGGTAAAGCTGTCTTTGGACTCAATGAGCAATTTCTGAATTCTACAGAAGTTTATAATATCTCATAAATCACATAGTTGCAGGTCCTTCAATTCCTGCAATACCATAAATGATAAAGCAACCCAATACATGGAGCCAAGTTCTTGAAATTTGCAAATAATTTGGTAAACATACATAAATAATATATATTGTTCTAATACAGCATACTCAGGGACCAAATAATGAGTTAAAACAATCTTTTAACTCTCAAATGAACATAGAAATTGGTGTGGCAATAGGATATTGCCACTATGCATTCTTTTGGTTTTACTTACAAATTCAAACTGTTAGCAATCAAACTGTCACAAACTTATCTATCAGAAAAGCACCTTTGGTCTCAGTTGGTCAGTACAATACTGGAGCACAAACCAAAAATCCCACAAACAACAAAGAAAAATACACCTACTTTCTATATTTCTACCTCATTTCTTACAAATATCTATTGAAATAACCACCCGGAAGGGAAAAACCAAACATGCTCACACTGCCAGGGAAAAACTTACTGATATTTACTTTGTTATTAAATGAATAACTATGTCATTACTGTTGCTCTGCTCGGCCTCTTTCCTTCCATGGCATCTTTCTTTCTCCGACAGTTTGCGCAGAGAAAGGGTCCTTCCCATGGTTTTGATGAAGGTGAGAAAAAAGGCCCTGAGTTTACTGATAAGCCATCACTGGGTGGTTGATCCACTTGGCAGACTGCACATCTGAATAGCCCTGAGCTGTTCAATGGAAAATCCTTACCTAACCTGCAACACCAAAAAACGGAAAGAATTTTGAAAAATACAGCTTCAAAAAATAATGGTTCCTTTTCTATTAAGAGCTGCATCACCTGCGTCAATAATAGAGTTGTTACTGAAATGAACAAGCAGGCAGAACGAATGAAGGACTTTAATTTGGGAAAACCTTAAATTAAGTCTGTCCTTCCTTGTTCGATGAGAATATCCTCATCAGGCAACTCTTCTAAGCTAGTCAAGTTGGATTAGTTGTTTATCCTATTAGAATCCATTCCATAAGTCTCCTGTTTAATGATTTAAAAAAACAGTTCTGGGGGATACTGGGTTCTGATCAACTTGTAATGTTTTGCAATCACAAGTGGTTCATATATGTCTGTTTCTGTCTTCATTTAGTGGCCTGTGTTCATTATCGTTTATTAAAACCAAGTTTTTTTTTTTTTTTTTTACAAACATGGCTATGTATATATGTCTCTAAGCACATATGCACATATATAAAGGCAAAAGAATAAAAATGAAGCAAAAAAATAAACTGCTGTTACATCATATGTTGGAGAAAACAAACCTTTCTGCAAGCATAGCTGAACCCTCTTCAAATAACTCCTCCACAACTCCAACAGCAGAGAGCTTATTTGATATTTTGTTCATAGAATCCTGAGCTTTCTTCCCAAAGATAAATGAACTGAGCATATTCTGTTTCTTCCTTGGTGTTGGAGCCGGGACAGGATGGTCAGATGGTATAATATCAACAACGAGGCAGGTTGTATCATCCTTCAGGCCCCTTGACCTCAGAGCCTCCTAAGTACAGAAGAATTAGAAGTTACTAACAAGCCAAAAAGAATAGTACTGTCCTAGACGTACAAAAAGGGACCAATGTTAGGCTAACCTTAACGACCAGCTTTGCAGCAAGCTCTGCAGGTAAACCCCGGCAAGCCTTGGCTGCCATATCAGAAGCTAATGCGTCCCATATACCATCAGAAGCAATTATGAGTCTCCCTCCAGCATTTGAAAGCTAAGTAAACACACAAGATATAACTGAGAAACATTTTTTTTTTTTTTTTTTTTTTTTTTATAAGAAACATTGAGCAACAGAATATAAACGACAACAAACGTTCAGCAAAAAGAACAAAAGTGCTCACCTTCACTTGCTTAACATGTGGTATTGGAACAATGAACTCTCCAACATCTGTGTCACCAATTGACCTTGAAAGACATAATCCCCCAGGCCAGCAACGGAGGGGACCAACCTATAAACCATGTTGAGATTGGACCAGATCAAAAAGGGAATGTTAACAAAAGAATATTGACCAAAGAATTTTTGGCTAAGAATAGTATTGGTAAAGTGAAAACTTTATACCTCATTGCCCCCAAAAACATTGAGCCTTCCGACTTCACCCCCACTTGCAGTGACACGCTCTCTCTCTTCTTCATTTTCTTCCAGCCTGTGATCAACAGTTAAGAGCGAAACAACACCACCCTGGGTGTCCAATATGCATCGAGAATCACCGACAGATGCAACAGTCACAGTCCACCCATCAATCACAACAAATGTCACCGTTGTCCCAGAAGTTTCACCTGTAAATAACATTGCACCATAAAGATAAGCATACCAAGAAAATACAATTTGGACAAAAATAAAAGGAATACCGACACGTACCTTTCTGTTGAAATTCTATGTCAGTTTTCACAAAACCTGCAACAAGCGCCCGAGGAAGGGCTTGAAGCCACTCATCCCTACTAGCGCCTTGAGGGATTGCACTCAAGACATTATTCAACAAGTTCTCCTTTGCAAATATGGCAGCTGATATACCATTATGCCCATCAAAAATCTGCCAATAACCAGTAATAAGACCTATGGGCACTTTGAATAATAAGGATATATATGTATGTATATATGCTCTCTACTTGGTTGGAAAGGAAGCCAAAATAGAAAACTAATTAAAATTTCAAAATAAATCAGAATATTTGGGCCCCAATAAAATAAAAACCTTCTTTTCTTTGCTCAACAGAAGCTAAACACAACCATTTAGCTTAATCAAAGAGAATCTATCAATTTCCTGGTTATGTGTGTGAAAGAATTATCCAACTACTTTTCTTTGTTCCCCTCTGATTTTTCTCAAAAACCAACAGACAGTAATATAATTATATAAAAAATAAAAAAGGATTACCGCAAAGACGGAAAATGACGTTGATGCATTTCCAGGAATCCTCTGGCAATCGGGTTTTATCAGAAAGTAATCCTCTCCTTTTTTTGCTAAAGCAGCTTGTCCATACTTCACAAAAGGCTTCTCAACCTTTTCATTCCTCAGTTCACGACCAATCAAAGTCCCAAGGGGAACAAGAGGAGGCTTCATCCGCGATACTTCACTCTGGCTCATGTTTGTTTACTTTTCAACATTTTCTGAGACCCTTCCAAATAAAACCCTAAGCAACCACATAAAGAATAAATTATAGCCTTTTGACAATGTCAATGCAGTGTATCAGACAAACTTCTACAAACTAGCAAATTTATCGTATCAAATATACTTCACACAGTTAAACCCATTCAAATCAAACAGCGGATTACATAAATCTCCCTAACTGATCTAAAATCAGCTACATATCAATTCAATACAATGCAGCATACAAAGTCAACTAACAAATAATTACCAAAAACTTGCAAAAAACAAACACAGCCCAGAACTTCAAACTGTCAAAACCAATCAACCAAAGCTTCTTCATGAATTTTTAACCACTCAGAACACATAAGAATCAACATAGATCTTTGCCCATTAAGCTAAACCAGCCACATATCAAGATTATCAAAACAAATCTCACTAAGTAATCTAATTACACAAAGTTAACCCAGCTAAAACAAATCAATGAAGCAATTTTTTTTTTTCCCTCAAAAAACAAACTGAACAAGACTAAATCAACTTGAAGTCAAAACACATCACAACAAACCCAGATAAGTTCCCTCACAAAATTCAATCTTTTCAAATAAAAATCAAAACTTGGTGAATGAAACTAGAATTGAACTCAAAAATAGTGAAAAAAATTGCAAAAAGAAAAAAAAAAAAAAAGAAACACAAAATGGGAAATTGAAAGTAACCCCCAAACTCACATTAGCAGATCAAGAAGAGATCACAGCACATTGAGCACTCAATCCCCAACACACTCACTCACTTCATTTCTTGCAAAACTTTCACTTCATCACAAAAAATAGAAACCCAAAATCCAAAAAATAAAAAAAATAAACCCTAAAAGAGAGAGAGATTGTGGCTTGATTTGATTGGTAGAGAAATCTAGAGAGAGTGGGAAATGGTTGTGATTTTCGGACAAAGTTTTTTATAATGACATTTTTGTCCTAAATTTTCGTTATAATAGAGGCAAATCTTGACAGTAAAATGACTGATTTGCCCTTAACTTGGGGTTTTTCCTTTTAACAGTTTTGCCCTTTTTGACTTTTGTGAATGTTGATGACTTTCTGTGTTTGTTCTCTATGAATTGATGTTGAAGATTCTCTCATAGGAGTATTATTTATTCAAAATTTATGGTTAATATTCATCTTAATTTTAATTATTTTTTTTTTTTTTTTGTAAAATTAGGGACGACAATTCTAATTACGAGTTTAATTAGATCCTGAGATGTCGAATTTTACTGAAATGAGTTAAACTAATTAAATTTAAATACTTCTAAAAAGAGACAATCCCAAAATCAAATATGTATCGATAGAGTTATTATCATCGAAATATTTATTTCTTTTATATTAAACTAAACTATCTTCCATTAGTAAAATATATTATACAAGTAGTGCAATGAGAATCTAATAAATAATATTTTTTAAACTAAAAAAAAGTATGTAGGGGTAAAATGGTCATTTATTGGATGTTTGACTTGGATGAAGCTTTGTGCCAGAGAATAGTTCCCTATAATACAAAAAAAGTGCTGTGATTTGGTTGGCAAAAATTAGGTGGGTGAAGACTTAAGACAAAGCAAAATGTTTGTAATAATAATAATAAAATTTTTTATGAAGTTATTTAAGCCAATTTTAATTATCAATTAATCAACAATATAATTATCCTACCATTAAGTTTTTTTGGTTAAAATAAATCGTAGTATGATAATTTGATAAATATTTATTAATATAAATTTTGATAACTTACTTTCCCTCGTTAATAGCAGAAAAAACTTCTTGTTACATTAGAAGTTAAAACTTAAAGAATCGTGTCTTTTTAACTCCTTGTATACATAACTTCGTAAAATCTAAAGTTAAATGTAATAGATTTTGATGGGCTTTTAAATAAAATACAAAGGAATTGGTAAGGGTTCGTTTGGTTTGTTATCTTGGATATGATTTTAGAAATAATATTGGGTAGTTGAATGGGGTGATTATTACGTAAAATTTAAAAATTAACAAAAAAAAACCTCATAGATTTGTTAATTTAACTAAACACCCAAATATATAAAAATTTTATAAAATGAAAAAAACACCCCCACCCACCCACAGTGTTAGATTCCGGTCACCACCGTCGAAATCTAGTTGAAATCTAGCGTTACGACGCAGACCGGTCGGATCTGGCCAAATCTATGACTAGTTTTGGCCGTCGACGGCCGTAAAAGGCCAGATATGGCCGTCAACGACGACCAATGATTTTTAAACTTTTTTTCTAGGGGTGTTTAATTAAATTAATAAACTTAAAGGGTCTAAAAGTAATTAAAAAATATAATAGTATTTCTTAAATAATTAAACAAATAGTTATTTTAAGAATATGATTGGGAATATGGTATGAAATAATAAACCAAACAGATCCTAAGATATCAAGGAGGGAAATAATGAATTAGAAGTAGCAAATTCAAAACCCTAATCCCTAATCCTAAAATGGGTATATAAAATTAAAATTGAATAAAAAGAGTAGATATTTTTATTTAATTTTTGATTGGGTAATTTATATGTTGTTGTTGGTGGCGGAGTCAACTTTGTGAAATGTGTTTGTGGGGGTGGCCGTGGAGGTGGTAGTCTAAACAAAAAAACAAGACAAATATCAAGGATTTGGGTGACTTGGCCATGTGTTTTTAGGACCCCACTTAGGGTTTTAGCCACTCATTTTAGGGGGTTCTTTTTGGAACCCAGCTGGAAAGTTGACATTAAAGAAGTGGATGTTGTTGGTAAAATTTTGATTTAATTTATATTTGCTATACTCACCCATGGCAACATGAAAGATAACAACACTTCTTCATTTCACATACCTTTGTCAACTTATTTTGCAATTAATGCCCTTCTTTGCTTTTTTAATCATGTTTTACCGTTTACTTAAACCTTTTACACATCGTGTGTCACACTATAGGATTAGGAATTGGTCGTAACAAGGTAACCTTATTGGAAGGTGCGACTAGATCACTTCTTTTTTTGGTATGGTTTTAAAACTCGGACCAGATCAATCGATCCGTCTAGGAACTTGTCCTTAATCTGGTCCATTGAATGGCTAAAACTCATTTTAGTCATTAGAGTGGATTGACTCGGGGTTGAATTGAAGAGAATAGTGTCAAATCGCAGTTCAATCGTTGAGTTAGCAAACCGATAGCTAAACTGAACCGGATCTGGATGGATTTATTTTAGAAATTTAGTAATTATTAGAGCTTTAAAATGTTATTATGTCATGTTGGCATTGGCATGATGTCATCAATTTGATTTGTCGGTTGAATCGATTAGACCACTCGACTTGGAGACTAGCCCCTTGACCGGGTCAAGGCTCGGTTCAAATATAAAAACATTGTTGTAAGGAAGACCTAATATTTGTTGGATTCGACTTTTATGATATATAATTTAACATCCTTGAATTTCAAGATTAAGATTTGGATGCACCCAATTACCATAGGATATTGAAATGTATGTTCATCCATCCCTGAAAGTGGTACCCAAACAGATTGAATAGAAGTTATATCTATGACAACATGAGATGAAAGTGAGCTGCTTAATGACTACTTCACCTTTCATTAATATGGAGCAATACTATGCTGACTAGGGGTGTTAAAAAAAAATGCAAAAATTGAACCGAACTAAATTTTCGGTCATTTGAAAAGCTGGTTTGGTTTCGGTTAAAAAAAAAATAATAAAACGAAATTTTGGTTCGGTTACCGATTTGGGAGAATATGGAAATCGGTTAATCAAAATCGATTTTACTAACTGATTTATTATAAAAATATTAAAAAAAAGGTTTATTATAAAATATTAAATTAAAAATATAAAAAATATTAAATATTAAATTAAAACTGGTTCTAAATTGGTTAACCGATTTTTACTAACCGGTTTTCCCCTTAACTGGTTCGGTTCTGGTTTAGGAAAATTCTTCAACCGAAAAACTGGTTCGGTTCATAAAATCAATTAACTGGTTTTGAACACCCTTAACACTGACAAATGAATTTCACAACCTTTCTCTCACAAACCTAACGTAACATTCCCACCACATTACTAGGCAACGTCAATAGGTGAGAAAATTCGTTAGAAAACAAAAATCAGCTGTTATTATGCATTTGTGAGATTCGTTCGTCCATCTATTTTTATTGTTAATTTCGCGGTATTAGGCATTGATGTACCTAACATGCCCGTACAACTAATTATATCCTCTTGTCCGACGTCGTTTCCGTAACACCTCTCTTCTACCTCTTGCTAATTGCAGTTGGCGGGTCAATTTCCACAAGGCTTTAAAAATTCCCTCCCCTAAGCCTAAGAATCTGCAACCTCTCAAATGTAAAATCTTCTTGGACCCATTTGGGAAATCGTTTGGTTTGGGTGAAAAAGGTGCTTTCTTTACTTCAATTTCAATTTCTTTCTTAATCTTTCTATATTTTTATGTTTGAGTATCATGTACTTACAGAATACAACAATGGCTTTTCTTTACACTTAAAATTTTCGCCGAAGATGACGTTTTTAGTTAGGAAGACTTTGTTTTTCTTTTATGTGTAGGTGCATTTCTTTTTTGTTAACCATGGGACAGTAGCTCTAAGTGTTTAAATTTATTCAACCTGAGAATCATTTAAAATAAATTGTCTTCTATTAGTATTTCATAAACTTGTTTATTCTATAGGCTACTCAGGCTGTGATGTGATGGAGAAGAGAATTGGTAATCTTGATAGAATATCAGCATTGCCGGATTCAATCTTGCACCATATTTTGTCATTCGTGTCACTGAAACAAGCTGTTCGAACTAGTGTATTGTCTAAAAGATGGAAAGAAACATGGCATAAATGTCCCATTTTAGTACTTGATGATCACACTCACGGTGATTTTGCAAGGGCAAAAGAGGAGTTGAAGTGTATAGAACAAACTTTACTAAACCGTCACATGGAGATGATAAGTTTAAGGAAGTTCAAGATTAGCTTGTATTATTTTTGGGATGATGAATTTGCAGTATTGGTAGATTGATGTGTTTGCTTTGCAATTGGAAGTAATGTCAAAGAGCTTAAACTTCACTTTCCATTTTTCAGGGGAGGATACAATTTGCCTCAAATTGTTTTTTGTGCAAATGCCATTAATGTGTTAGAGTTGTATGGCGGTAAGCTGTCCCATCCAAGAATTGGTGTGCAGTTGTCTTTGAGAAAATTGTGTCTGGTGGGTGTTTATGCAGATGATCAAATGATTGAGAATCTCTTCGCTAGGTGCCTGTTGATTGAGTATCTGACATTCAATCATCTAAAGGCTTTAAAAGCCTAGAGTTATTTAGTCTTAACAAACTCCATGAAGTCAAGGTAAGTAACAATGATGAACTCAAAAAGGTGGAGATCAAAGCATTGAATGTTCATTCAGTAACTATTACTGATATGAAAACATGTGTGATCAATATAGCCTCTTGTGAGAATCTGAAATGCTTATTATTATCGAAGCTTTCAATAACGGATGATTGGTTATGTAATGTAATTTCAGATTTTTCGCTCCTCTTAAGCATAACTCATTGTCATAAGCTGAGGAGTATCAAAATTTCAAATCCTAGTCTTAAGGAATTGATCATCAATGGATCCAATTTGGTTGAAGTAAAGCTTGAGACTCCTAATTTAAGTATATTCAAATTTAGGGGTCATCCAATATCCTTTACTTCAAATGCTATGGCTTTGTCAAAAACTGATCTCTACGTCTATGGTCATAGGGATATTCAGGATTCAGTTAAGTGTATTCAACTTCTTGCAAACTTTAAGCAGTGTTCTAAAGTGCTGAATTTGCAACATTGCACGGGTGCGGTATGTCTATATTTCCTAATCTCTTTTTTTGAATATGCTTTTAATAAAAAAATTCTTTTTTTATGAGTAATTTGTTGTCATATGTTTTGAAGCTTTAACTTCCTCTTTTTTTTTTTTTTTTTTTTTCTTTTTTCTTTTCTTTCGTGTAGGTTTTCACTGTTCCTAGAGAATGAAGGCAAATCTTACATCCCCCTTTATGTGGTGTCAAACATTTGAACCTCAAAATAGATGGTGATCTCTTGGACTTTAGAATTCGCGAACTAGTGGATGGCTTGCTCTGGCTTTCACCTCATATAGAGACTATATCGATGAGTTTTCATTTAGTTTACAGTCATAAGTATTCTTTTCAGATAACAGATGTCCGGATATATTACATTAATGAATTCAGGGTTTGGTATATGCTGTGAGGTTCTATTAGGAGATTTTGATTGATTAACCATTTTTGTTTGTTTTACTATGTTTATGCCTTTCATGTTAAAGGAGGTAAAGGTTTTCTCAAATAGTAGATCTTGATGTGATAAATTAAAACGTAAATGATAGTTAATTTAGATAATAAAAATGCTAATTTTTGAAATCAACATATTCTAATTATGCATTACCTACTGTAAATATAACAGTAATTGAATTCTTTTCTGTTTCTTATCTAGAAGAAAATGGGAAAAAGAAATTGGATCCTATAATAATGTCCTTTTTGTGGATAAGAACTATTGTTTATTGCCATTGATTTTTGTTTCAGTTCTTATACAAGGAGCAGCTTACTCACGAAGGAGAGACTCCTAGTTGTTGCCAATCCCTTCGCTTCTCATGTTGGGAGAATTGTCTTAAGGGAGTTAAGATTGAACATACTTGGACATCTAACAGTCCACCTGCTTATTTAGACAGGTTCTCTTTTGAGAAGAAGACATTGGAGAAGCATACTTACGTAGAAAGGTTCTATTTGCACGACAAGATCTGGGATACGCTTAATCATCTTTATTTGAATTTGAGGAATACGTATAGTTATCTGTTTTATGGTGATATATAATTATCTGTTTGATGTCAGTAGAGACTAGAAATTCTGGTTTCATTATCGAATTCTCATGTAATATTGGGTAGCTTTGAAAAGGTATCGGTTTTCAACTTAAACTTTGTGAAGGCATACCAGTTTGACATATATTGTATGTAGCAGTAGCTTGTAATATAATTGTACTGATGTGACAAGGATGCTTGGCCTGGCGTTGATATTTACCCAATGGTGGTTGTATGACAATAAATTTATTCTTAAGCCTTTTACAGAGCATGTTACATTATGGGAATTGGTCATAGCAAGTTAAAAGAAAGGGTGGTGCTAAAGGCAAGACTAGTAACTAAAATGAAGTCATATATAATAAGGTAGCCTAATTGCAAAACGCGGTCGGATCACTTCTTTTTCAGGAAAAGCTAATGCTTGTTTGTTGGATACCACTTTTAAGATATATCATTTAACACCCCTTTGTCAGGAATTTCAATATCAAGATTTGGATGCACCCTGTTGCCATGGGATATTGAAATGAATGTTCATCCATCCCTAAAATGGTACCAAAACAAATTGAATAGAAGTTAGTATCTATGGCAACCATTGTTTTAAAAACCGGACTAGAGGACAACCCGCTCTAATGGCCAGGTCACGGTTCAACCGGTTGGACCTCCGGTTGAACCTTTGGTTTGACAGGTTTAAAATCTAACAAAAACACCTTTGATAATTACCATTAGACCCTATAGGTTTGAAATCTAGCAAACACAACCCTGACCAAATGCAAATGGGCGATCGATTGGGAGAGCAATGGCGACACACCAGGGAGGGTAGATCGGATGATGGGGAGGGCGAATCGGCTGCTAGCAAGTAGAGGCATCGCCAGAAAATGGCAGATCGGTGGTGGAAGTCACTGGTCGCGGTGGCTTTTTTTGGTGAGATGACTGGATCTTCGTGAACGACGACAAGGGAGCTTGGGAGAAGGTAGATCGATGGCTGAGGAAGCCTGTCGATGCTGGAGAAGGCCGATTGATGCCGAGAAATGGAAAAAAAATCTTGCGGCGAAGGTGGACGATGAAATGTCACGCGGCGGCTGGAGATGAAGCGTGATAGCGCTAGAGAAAGTCAGAACTCAGAAGGTGGTTTCCGACAGTAAGGGAAGGTGGAAGGTCGCCGGAAAAGGGGAGGTCATTGCCGATTTGCATTTGGCCAGAGGGTGTGTTTGCTAGATTTGAAACCTTCAGGGACTGATGGAATAATCAGAGGTATGTTTGTTATATTTTAAACTTCAAATAGTTAAAAAGAGTGACCCGACCCGGAGAAGGCTCCGAGTCCGGGTCCAACCAGTTGGACCGGTCGGTCCGGTCCGGTTTTTAAAACAGAGATGACAACATGAGATGAAAGTGAGCTGCTTTCAGACTGCTTAACCTTTCATTAACTTTACGTGATGTGTTGCATTGATATACTTAACGGATAAAGATAGGCTCATAATCTAATCTTACAAATTTTTGCTCATAATCCCGATGTGATAGCTTGTAATTAGTCAACTCGTAATTTGACAGACAGATGTACTTGCGAGTTGATAAATTGTAAACTGTTATATCGCGATTGTGAGAAAAAGTTTGTTAAATAGGGTCGTAATACTATACTTTAACATGCCCGCACAACTTGTTCTTTCCTCTTCTCCGACGTCGTTTTTATAATGCCTCTCTTCCTCTTGTTATGTAGTTGGCGGTTCAATTTCCACAAGGAAAAAAGATTCCCTCCTAAAAACCGTAACCCTAAGCCTAAGAAACAAGAATATGCAACCTCTCAAATATAAGTAAAACCTTCTTGGACCCATTTCGGAAATCGTTTGTTTGGGTGAAAAAGGTGCTTTCTTTACTTCAATATCGATTTCTTTCCTAATCTTTTTGTATTTTTATGTTTGAGTATCATGTACTTACAAAATACAGCAATGGCCTTTAGTTGATTCAATTGTCAGATACTCAAGCAATTGAATCAACTAAAGGCTTTAAAAGCTTAGAGCTATTTAGTCTTAGCAAACTCCATTAAGTCAAGAAGAGTAACAATGATGGACTCAAAAAGGTGGAGATCAAAGCATTGGATGTTCATTGAGTAACTATTAATGATATGAAAACATGTGTGATCAATGTTGCCTCTTGTAAGAATCTGAAATGCTTTTTATTATCAAAGCTTTCAATAACGGATGATTGGTTATGTAATGTAATTTCAGATTTTTCGCTCCTCCAGTTCTTAAGCATAACTCATTGTCATAAGCTAAGGAGTATCAAAATTTCAAATCCTAGTCTTGAGGAATTGATCATCAATGGATCCGATTTGGTTGAAGTAAAGCTTGAGACTCCTAATTTAAGTATATTCAAATTTAGGGGTCATTTAATATCCTTTACTTCAAATGCTATGGCTTTGTCAGAAACCGATCTCCACATCTATGGTTATAGGGATATTCAGGATTTAGTTAAGTATATCGAACTTCTTGCAAAGTTTAATCAATGTTCCGAGAGTGCTGAATTTGCAACATCAAAATATAATAGCTATAATATGTGACTAACAACCCTATGATACATGGAGAAATTTCATAACACACTAGTGTGACACGTTAATAAAAACGTACCTCAATTCATAAATATAGATGGTTATGATTGGATAGATAACTGACTCAATTCACAAATATAGATGGTTATGATTGGAAAAACGTACCTCAATTCACAAATATAGATGGTTATGATTGGATAGATAACTGACTCACATTACGGAATATAATTTCTCACTCAAACATTCACAATATCAAAAGATTAAGGAGAAAAGAAGTAAATTGGCCTTGGTCGCTTAAGCGACGTAGGCTATCGTTTAAGCGATCACGGCTTATCTATAATAGATCACTTAAGCGAGAGCTGATATCGCTTAAGTGACTGTATATTTGAGAAGAATTATTCTAAGTACAAAAACAAATTACCCTTGATCGTTTAAGCGATGTAGCTCTCGATTAAACGATCAAGTATAGATAACCTTTGATCACTTAAGCGATATCCCACATCGCTTAAGTAACCAAGGCTAATTTGTGTCAAATAATCTATATAAAAAACAAGTTTGCTTAAGCGATATAGCTCTCGATTAAGCGATCAAGTATAGATAACCTTTGATCGCTTAAGTGATAGCCTACATCGCTTAAGTGACCAAGGCTAATATGTGTCAAATAATTCATATAAAAAAACAAGTTTGCTTAAGCAATGTAGCTCTCGATTAAGCGATCAAGTATAGATAACTTGTGATCGCTTAAGTGATAGCTTACATCGCTTAAGTGACCAAGACTAATTTGTGTCAAATAATCCATATAAAAAACCACTTAAGTAACCCAGCTCTCGCTTAAGCGATCCAATACTCATCACCACCTAATATCATGTGCTCAAAACTTCAAACAAAAAGAACTTCAATCACCAAACAATCTCATAAAGTACTCATCAAAACCATTAAAATTGTGTTATGATTCATTAAAATTGGCCTGACAACTGATAAAACAGCAGCCTAAAAGTACAGAAGTCTATATAAGGAAATTGTGATCTATTTATGCTTCTTCCAAGGGAGTTGCCTTGTCCTTTTCATCTATATAAGTACAGAAGTTTGTCCAAGGAAATAAATCAGGGACACGAATTAGGAAAGTTTGAATGGATTCTATTGATTCTACGACAATTTCGACTGTGAGCTCAACCTGGCATGCATTTATAACCTCCTGAAGTTGGCTTGACTTGGTAGCTCTAAATACAGCACTTGCAACAAGAGGGTGCCTCAAAACAAATGCTGCCCCGTGAAAAATCACAAGATGAAAATAATGTTAAATCCAAATCCAAGAAAACAGCTAACTCAACGGCATTAAATAGAAGAACACATGACAAGTCTTCCACAATAAAGATACACAGGCCTATGAGCATACATTTCTTGAAACCTGTAATTAACATTAGTAATATCCATTTGTATATGGCTTCAACTAAGAGAAGAGATATATATTCAACTAAAAGCAGACATAAAACCTCCTTTACTAGCATGGTCAATATTGTTCTTCAAAACAATTCTTTGGCAAAACAGGCTCATGGACTCACAATTTTTCTGCTTCAATTTTGTTACTTGTTAGTTCTAAATGATAAAATCCAGACCCTAAAAGGATTAGCACCCCATGATACATGATTGAGACTGTAGATCAACAATGAATGTAACAGCTTTTAGTAAGAAACTATTTAAATATGAGACACAAAAATAAAATAAAAGGTACAAAAAAAATCACCATTAACATTTTCAAGACAACACACTCACACAAATACATAGAGAGAGGGTTATACCAATTGCAAGAGATACGATGATAGACCATATCTTCTTGCAACATCAAGATACTCCTGCAAAAAAAAAAAAAAAAAAAAAAAAAAAAATGGAAGGGTTTGATTAATCAAAACAAGTATAGTGCAACAGACAACAATTCCTTTCATGCTTTAAACCTTACTGCAGCAATTCAGTAATTCACACAAATACATAGAGAGAGAGATGTTATACCAATTCCCTGCAGCAGATGCCTTCCTTTCTTCTGTCTTCGTTGCTTCAAACCTTACTCAATAGCAATTCCATACCCTTTTGCCAAACCTTCCATGCTTCAAATCTTACTCAATAGCAATTCCATAGCCTTATTCAACAGCAATTCCATACCCTTCCATGCCAAACCTTACTCAATGTACAACCAAGAGCACAAATAACCCAACAATAGACCCACAATGCATATAAACCGGTCACAAGCAAGAGCAACAGCAATCCAGTAACACAGTAACAAGAGAAAAATGCTATATCATTAAGATTCCAGAATTTACAAGATAGCGAAAAAAGAGATAAAAAAAGGCAACACCCAGCTAGTCGTTTCCCTTTCTGCCCCCTTTTCCTTTCCTCCAGAACCCCCACAAAAAGCTGATCCTTGTTGGTTGCCGAAGCCTCCAAACCCACCACCACCTGTAGCATATTTCTCTCTAATAATTCAGCATCAATTCTTTTATTACTGGTCATATTCAGCACCATCTGTACAACTTCTACAGCCTAAAAAAAAAAAACATCGAATAAACAGTAAAGCATAAAACATTGATAACTGAAGAAAAATATTATTGTGAAGTATACTGATTTCATATTCACTAACATATCATGTGATCTCATACATTAACAGTATCTAAAAAAATTGAATAAACATGTATTTTTGCATACATTTTTCAGGAAAAAACTTAAACTCCAAATGGATTTATTCTGAGCCATTGAGGACCAAAATTACAAAGATCATTCACCATAAAGTCTATGTTAAAATTATTTTCACTAGCAGCTGTTAAAAAACACACACAAATGGGTGCTTTGGACTTCACAGAAGAGAGCGGAATAGGGGGGCTCAGGGCTGCGTGTGGACAGCCTTGCAATATGCACGCAAGCCCCTAGCCCCCTCATTCTGCTCTCTTTGCCAACAAAAGCCATCCAGCCTGCCACAAACAACCTCCATAGCGCCTCCCTTGGCTTCCCCAGTCTTCTGGAAGCCCAAAACACCCCCTCCTCTGATGCCCTCTAATTGTTCGACAAAATGCGAAATGACTCTATCAACAAACACCAACCAAATATCCCCTCAATTGGCGCCAACAACCAATAATTTCATAAAATATATAGATTATTACATGTTCTTCCTCTTCCTCCACCTCCTCGCCAGAATTTGCGCTGACGTCCTCCCCTTCATTTTCAATTTCAAATCCTGTTGTCCATTCTTCTTCCGGCGCCATCTCCTCTACCGACGAGGCGTCCTCTACCGGTGGAGCAGCTTCAGTCATCAGAAGTTGCTCCACCGCAACCTCTTCTTCTCCATTTTTGGTGGACCTAGTGGTGCCTACAATTTGGGGAGTGGACAGGATTTTTTTTGGTTTCTTTGAGGATCTCAACTATTGTAACTTAATCGAGAGTGGTAAGGAATGGAAAAATTGCAAAGAGCAAAGAAATTGAGAAATGACAGAAAATTGGAAGAAAAAACGAGAGAGATGAAGGTGTTTGAATCGCATTTTGAGAAAGAGAAACTAAGAGGAATGCGTTTTGCCTTTCAAATAATAAATCAACTTCTTTTTATTATATTTTAACCCACAAACGTTTAAATATTTTCATCTTAACCCTTTTTGCTGTTTTAATTACACTTAAAATTCGTCACGTCGGATTTTTAAACCCAAACAAAAAAAAAATCAAAAAACCTTTTCTAGTTATATTCTCATTTCCAAACTTGGAAGGCATATCAGTTAGATTTCCTCAAAAAAAATTCCCTCCAAATAACCGTAACAGGAATCTGCAACCTCTCAAATGCAAGTAAAACCCTCTTGGACCCATTTGGGAAATCGCTTGTTTGGGTGAAAAAGGTGCTTTCTTTACTTCAATATCGATTCCTTTCTTAATCTTTTTGTATTTTCATTTCCCTCCTAAAAACCGTAATCCTAAGCCTAAGAAACAAGAATCTGCAACCTCTCAAATGTAAGTAAAACTTTCTTGGATCCATTTGGGAAATCGCTTGTTTGGGTGAAAAGTTGCTTTCTTTGCTTCAATATCGATTTCTTGCTTAATCTTTTTGTTTTGTTTTGTTTTTTTTTTTTAATTTTTGATATCATGTACTTACAGAGTACAGCAATGCCCTTTTTTTCCCCATAAAATTTTCGCTGAAGATGAAGTTTTTAGTTAGGAAGACTTTGTTTTTCTTTCCTGTGTGGGTGCATTTCTTTTTTGCTAACCACGGGGCTTTAGCTCTAAGTGTTTAAATTTGTTAAACCTTAGATTTATTTAAAAAAGTTGTCTTCTAATAGTATTTCATAAACTTGTTTATTCTATAGGCTACTCAGGGTGTGATTCGATGGAGAACAGAATTGATAATCTTGATAGAATATCGGCATTGCCGGATTCAATATTGCACCGTATTTTGTCATTCCTGTCGCTGAAACAAGCTGTTCGAACTAGTGTATTGTCTAAAAGTTGGAAAGAAACATGGCATACATGTCCCATTTTAGTACTTGGTGATTTTGCAAGGGCAAAAGAGGAGTTGAAGTTTATAGAACAAACTTTGCTAAACCGTCACATGGAGATGATAAGTTTAAGGAAGCTCGTGATTAGCTTGTCTTGTTTTTGGAATGATCCAGAATTTGCAGCATTGGTAGATCGGTGTGTTTGCTTTGCAATTGGAAGTAATGTCAAAGAGCTTAAACTTCAATTTCCATTTTGCTGGGGACGATACAATTTGCCTCAAATTGTTTTTTGTGCAAAATCAATTGATGTGTTAGAGTTGTATCACTGTAATCTGTCCCGTCCAAGAATTGGTGTGCAGTTGTCTTTGAGAAAATTGTGTCTGGTGGGTGTTTATGTAGATGATCAAATGATTGAGAATCTCTTTGCTAGGTGCCCACTGATTGAGTATCTGACAATTGAATCATCTAAAGGCTTTAAAAGCCTAGAGCTATTTAGTCTTAGCGAACTCCATGAAGTCGAGATAAGTAACAATGGTGAACTCGAAAAGGTGGAGATCAATGCATTGAATGTTCATTCAGTGACTATTACTGATATGGAAACATGTGTGATCAATATAGCCTGTTGTAAGAATCTGAAATGCTTACTATTATCAGAGCTTTCAATAACGGATGATTGGTTATGTAATGTAATTTCAGATTTTTCACTCCTCCAGTTCTTAAGCATAGCTTATTGTCGTAAGTTAAGGAGTATCAAAATTTCAAGTCCTAGTCTTAAGGAATTGGTCATAATTGGATCTGATTTGGTTGAAGTAAAGCTTGAGACTCCTAATTTAAGTATATTCAGATTTAGGGGTCTTCCAATATCCTTTACTTCAAATGCTATGGCTTTGTCAGAAACTGATCTCTACATCTCTGGTAATACGGATATTCAGGACTTAGTTAAGTATACCAAACTTCTTGCAAACGTTAATCAGTGTTCTGAAGTGCTGAATTTGCATCTTCGCACGGGTGCAGTACGTCTATATTTACTAATCTCTCTCTCTCTTTTTTAAAATATGCTTTTAATAAAAATTTCTTTTCTTTTCTTACTAATATATTTTTTTTTTCTTTTGTGAAGGTTGTCATTGTTCCTAGAGAATGCAGGCAAATCTTACATCCCCTGTTATGCGGTGTCAAACATTTGAACCTCCTTATAGGTGATGATCTGTTGGATTTTACGATTCCCGAACTAGTGGACAGCTTGCTCTGGCTTTCACCTCATATAGAGACTATATCGATGAGTTTTCACTTAGGTGACAGTCATAAGTATTCTTTTCAGGTACCGGATATATTACATTAATGAATTCAAGACTTGGTATATGCTGTGAGGTTCTATTAGGAGATTTTGATTGATTAACCATTTTTGTTTGTTTTACCATGTTTATGCCTTTCATGTTAAAGGAGGCAAAGGTTCTCTCAAATAGTAGCTCTTGATGTGATAAATCAAAACGTAAATGATAGTTAGTTTAGATTATAAAAATGCTAGTTTTTGAAATCAATGTATTCTAACTATACATCATGTACTTTTTGGTGGAGTTAGGATTTTGCTTAATTATTTGTCATTTGTCTTTGAAAAAAAAAAAAAAAAATTTATTATTTACTTTTAGGTAGAGTTAGGATGAATTTTTTATTTTTGGAATTCTTTTCTGTTTCCTATCGAGAAGACAATGGGAGAAATATATTGGATCCTAAGACAATGTCCTTTTTGTGGATAGGAACTATTGTTTATTGCCATTGATTTTTGTTTCAGTTCTCATACAAGGAGCAGCTTATTCACGAAGGAAAGACTCCTAGTTGTTGCCAATCCCTTCCCATTTCATGTTGGCAGAATTGTCTCGAGGGAGTTAAGATTGAACATACTGCGACATTTTTTGCTCAGCCTGCGTACAGAGAAAGGTTCTATTTTCACGACAATATCTGGAATGAGCTTAATCATCTTTTTTTAGTTGAGGAATAAGTTTAGTTATCTGTTTGATAGAGATAAATAGTTATCTGTTTGATATCAGTAGCGACTAAGAAATTCTGTTTTCATTATCGAATTCTCATGTAACGTTGGGTAACTTTGAATAGGTATCATTTTTCGACTTAAACTTTCGTGAAGGCAAATCAGTTTGACGTATATTGTATGTAGCAGGATATAATTTTACTGATGTGACTAGGTTTCTTGCCCTGGCGTTTTTAACATCTTCTGATTAGCTATCTTTATGTTAGTAGCATGTTGAGAGATTGACTAAAATCAGGAAACTTATATGTTATTAGGGAAACGTTATGGCATATCAATCATTGGATTCTCTGATGGTTGTTTATTGTGAGACCGTTGGATTTCTTCGATGGTTGATACAAAAAAATAATATTATCCCGGAGCATACTATGATGGCATAAAATCATCGGATTTTTCCCACAATTGTTCACTGTTTGACCACATGGTGTAAGAAAGATAATTGTCTTTATAAGCTGAGATATAGTGAATATCATTGGGAAGGAAATTTTTGTTATTACATCAAATCTCAAAGAATTGAGTTTTTTCAATTCCTTGTATACAAAAGTAACAAAGCTTTGTAAAATGTCAGTTAAAACTTAAATGCGATAGATTTTGATGGCCTTTTGAATAAAGTACAAAAGATGAAAAGAATTGGCAAGATATCAAGGAGGGAAATAGTGAATTGGAAGTAGGAAATTCAAATCTTTAATCCCTAATCCTAAAATGGGTATATAAAATTGAATAAAAAGAGTAGATATTTTTACTTAATTGTTTTTGGGGTAATTTATATGTTGTTGGTGGAGTCAACCTTGTGAAATGGTGTTTGTGGGGCAGTTGACTCGGTGGTGGTGGAGGTGGATATGTTTGTAATCTAAACATTAAAACAAGACGAACATCAAGGACTTGGTGAGTTGGCCATGTGTTTTTAGGACCCCACTTCGGGTTTTAGCCACTCATTTTGAGGTCTTTTTTCTTTTCTTTTTTGGAACCCAACTAGAAAGTCGATAATTAACTAGTAGATTTTTGTTGATAATTTTGATTGAGTTATTGCTATGAGTAATGTTAAGTCTATAATCCAATCTTACAATATTCTCTCACAATCCTTAATGTGACGAGTCTCGCCTACTTGCTTTGAAAGCTATCTATTTACTAACTAACCAATTACGAGTTGTCACGTTTAGGATTGTGAGAGAAGGTTGTGAAAGAAGGTTGTAGACTTAACATTACTGTATTGCTATACTCACAAATGGAAACACTTTTTGTCAAATTATTTTGTGAGTTTTATTACTGCCTTAATCGCTTTTATCATGTTTTGTCATTACTTTTACATATAATCTTTTGATATAAAATACTATATTTAGTAACTGTCAATAGTGGTATGACAATAAATTTGTTCTTCTTCCTCCTCATAATCCAACTCCCTCACAATAAAACAAACAGTAGCCTACTACATTCTAATCGCAAAAACCAGCAGCCCCCTCCCAAAAACATAGCAACCTTCTCCATTCAAATCCCAAAATCGACCCAAATCGCAAAAACCCAACAACCTACTCCATTCAAATAAAAAAAACCCAATAATCTCCTCCATTTAAATTGCAAAATCAATCTAAATAGCAAAAACCAATAGCCTCCTCTAAAAAACCTAGCAACCTTCTCCATTCAAATCCCAAAATCGACCCAAATTGCAAAACCCAACAACGTACTCCATTCAAATCGAAAAAACCTAGCAATCTCCTCCATTCAAATTGCAAATCGATCCAAATAGCAAAAAGCCAAAAACTAGCAGCCTCCTCTCAAAAACCGAGCAACCTCCTCCATTCAAATCACAAAATTAACCCAAATCGCAAAAACCCAATAGCTTACTCCATTTAAATAAAAAAAAACCCAGCAACCTTCTACATTCAAATCGCAAAATTGACCCAATTCGCAAAAATTAATAGCCTCCTCATAAAAACCCAGCAGCCTGAAGTGAAAATATGAAGAAGTAAAGAGATGAAATGTAGAGATCGACAATGGAAGAGAGAAAATATGGATTAGGGCTTGACAGGGAATGAAAAAATGGGGAAAAGCAGAAAAGAAACCCACTTTTTGGAATTGAAAACCGGGTATAAAAGTTAACTCGGTTTTCCCCCAAAAGTGGTTGGACCAGCAAGTTGCTACAGTAACCAATCCGACTGCGAGTCAAATTGAGTAGATTAATACTCCTGGTTTTTAGGCCAGCCCGGCCCAGCTCAGTGACTGATTCCTGATCGAACCGATTAAACTGACTGGGCTGGGCCGAAAAGCCTTGTACACATCTCTTGTTACACATATTATCGGAATTGGTCATAACCAAAGTTAAAAGAAGGGGGTGTTAAATTGTCACGACCATATGCCGTCATGTCGTGACAAAAGCAACAAGTGTGGTAAATGTACGAGGTAAAAGAGTTTTGCAAAGCATTCACATGATGTGTGACAATTGAAACGTCACGTGTGTTTCCTACTAGCACATTGACAATACTTCATAAGACTTTTTAGGAAGGAGATGCTCCACGAAAGAGGAGTGCAAGAACTGTTAGGAGTTGTTATTCATAGTCAATGATGAAGAAGGGATTGGGCCATTCCTGCACAAACTGGTCAAGAGTTGGAGTCGCTTCCATAATGAGTCCATTATAGGATGAAAGTAGTAGACCTCAAGCCGATGAATGACATACGTGTAGGCTTAGCACTCTCAAGTATGATGTTAGAGTGCTGCACAGACTATTACATTGCATGAAAACTCTAGGCTCGTGACACAAAGGCAAGGCTAGTGACTAAAATGAAGTCGTAACAAGATAGCTTTAGTGCAAGGTGTGGATGGATCACTTCTTTTCATGAAGAACTAATGTTTGTTGGATTCAACTTTTACGATAATATGACCATCCCTTTGTTAGGAATTTCAAGATTGAAATTTGGATGCATCCAATTACCATAGGATATTGAAATGAATGTTCATCCATCCCTGAAAGTGGTACCAACACAAATTGAATAGAAGTTGTATCTGTGGCAACATGAGATGAAAGTGAGTTGCTTATTGACCGCTTCACCTTTCACTAAGAGTAATACTATGTTCACAACTCAATCTCACAACCTTCTCTAGCAATTCCAACATGGCAGCTGAGTTGGCAACTATTAGCTCTGACCACACCCAAAGCACAAAATGACTTTAACTAAATACGAACGATCGTTTTTTCATAAGGAATGATTGTTCTTTTATAAAAAAAAAAATCATTCCAAATAGTCATTCCTTAATAATGAAAGATCGTTTTTCCTTAAGGAACATCCGTTCGTCTTTAAGGAACGACTGTTCATGTTTAGTCAAAGTTGTTAGTTGACGTGATATGGTAAATTCTATTATCATGTTAGAGTTGTGAGATTGAGTTGTAAGTGTATTTTTATTTCATTAATGATGTGATCTGGTCATTAATGCACTTGATATCACGCAGTTTTCAAAACAAAAATGCCTACACAACATATTCTTTTCTCTTATTCGACGTCGTTTCTGTAACACCTCTCTTAATCTTATTAAGCACTTGGCGGGTCAATTTCCCCACGACTAAAAAAATTCCCTCCTAAAGACCCTAACCCTAAGCCTAAGAATCTTTAACCCCTCAAACGTAAAACCTTCTTGGACCCATTTGGGAAATCGTTTGTTTGGGCAAAAAAGGTGCTTTCTTTACTTCAATTTCAATTTCTTTCTTAATCTTTCTATATTTTTTATGTTTGAGTATCATGTACTTACAAAATACAACAATGGCTTTTCTTTACCCTTAAAATTTTCGCTGAAGATCAAGTTTTTAGTTAGGAAGACTTTGTTTTTCTTTTATGTGTTGGTGCATTTCTTTTTTGTTAACTGTGGGACAATAGCTCTAAGTGTTTAAATTTATTCAATCTCGGAATCATTAAAAATAAATTGTCTTCTAATAGTTTTTCATAAACTTGTTTATTCTATAGGTTACTCAAGCTACGATGTGATGGAGAAGAGAATTGATAATCTTGATAGAATATCGGCATTGTCGAATTCAATTTTGCACCATATTTTGTCATTCGTGTCACTAAAACAAGCTGTTCGAACTAGTGTATTGTCTAAAAGATGGAACGAAACATGACATACATTTTTGGTTTTAGTAATTAGTGATCACACTCAGGGGCGTTTGGTTGAGGGTTATGCGAGATTACCGGGGTTATGTCATCTTATATTACTTAATTACCACATTTGGTTGTCAAGTAATATAAGATTCTAGTAATTTTCAAATACCAATAGTAGTTATTGTTGATAATATTGGAGGTAATCTGATTACCTCAATTTTCTTACGTATTGTAAGATTACCAAAGTAATTTTATTGGTTACAATTATAACCCTTATTAATAAAATTTTAGGACAATAATAACCTTAGGGTGCATTTGATTCAGAGAATGTTGGATTACTGGAAAGTTAGATTACTTTGAAGATTATAGAGAATTTTTAAGAAAATGTTTTTGGTTAGTTTGAATAAATTGGTGGATATGTTTTATTAATATGTTTGGTTGGGAGGAATAAATTGGTAGGTTTGTTATTTAAATTACTGAATTGTCCTCTAATTAAATATTGTTATTTAGATTATTATTTGGATTATTTATGACCCACCTACATTTGAAAACTTAGCAAAAACAACCCCATAATAAAAGTTTGGAAAATCAACAATGCACCCCCACCAACCCAGCCACTGTTGGCCAGCAGCCGGCAACCTAACGGTGCACAAAGGGCAAGAAAATTGCCAGATCGTGACAGATCTGGCTGGAAGATGGCCATATCTAGATCTGATCGTTTTCGGTCAGATCCCTCGATCTAGTTGTTTTCCTACCAGATTTGTCACGATTTGGCCATTTCTGGTGAGAGATTTGGCCGAAAATGGCCATATCGGCACATGACAACCATTTTTCGGCCTTCCATGCGTCATTAGATTGCCGACTGCCAGTCGATTGGTGGTGGTTGTTGGCGGTCGACAATGGTTGAGTTGGTGGGGGTGGCGGCTTAGGTGGGTTGCAATTTATTTTGAATTCAAGGGTAATTTTGTCCAAAAAATTGATTAATTGGGTGAAATATTAAAAGCTATATTCATGTAAATTAATTTAAAAGTAAGGAAGCGTTTGGTTGGAGGTTATTTGGGATTACTGGAGTTATGTTATCTTATATTATTTGATTACCACGTTTGGTTGTCAAGTAATATAAGATTCTGGTAATTTTCAAGTACCAATAGTAGTTACTGTTGGTAATATTAGAGGTAATCTGATTACCACCATTATCTTAGGTATTGTAAGATTACCAAGGTAGTTTTTTTTTGTTATAATTCTATCCCTTATTAATAAATTTTAGGACAATAATACCCTTACTTTTAAATTAATTTACATAAATATAGCTTTTACTATTTCACCTCAATTAATTAACTTTTTGGACAAAATTACCCTTGAATTCAAAATAAATTGCAGCCCACCCAAGCCACCACCCCCATCAACCCAACCACTACCGACCGTCAGCAGCCGACAACATAACGGCTCACGAAAGGTGGGAAAATGGCCATCGTGCATCGATATGACCATTTTCGACCAGATATCTGGTCAGAAAATAGTCATCGTGCGCCGATCTGGCAATTTTCAGATAGATATCTGGCAAAAAAGGGCCAGATCGGTGCACGACAACCATTTTCTGGCATTCCGTGAACCGTTAAGTTGCCAGTTACCAACGACTGGCGATGGTTGACAGTGGATGCTGGCGGCCGCCAGTGGCTAGGTTAGTGGGTGTGCATTGTTGGTTTTCCAAACTTTTATTATTGGGTTGTTTTTGCTAAGTTTTTAAATGTAAGGGGGTTATAATAATCTAAATAACAATATTAAATAATAATATTTAATTAGACGACAATTCAGTAATTTAAATAACATACTAGCTAATTTATTCATCCCAATCAAACATATTAATAAAACATACCCACAAATTTATTCCAACTAACCAAACACATTTTCCTAAAGATTCCAAGTAATCTTCAAAGTAATCTAACTTTTTCAATAATTCAATATTTCCTGAACCAAACGCACCCTCACGGTTATTTTGGACGAGTAGAAGAGATGCTGAAGTGTATGGAACAAACTTTACTAAACTATCACATGGAGATGGTAAGTTTAAGGAAGCTCGTGATTAGCTTGTCTTGTCCTTGGAACGATCAAGAATTTGCAGCATTAGTAGATCGATGTGTTTGCTTTGCTATGGAATGTAATGTCAAAGAGCTTAAACTTCTATTTCCAATTTTCAGAGGAGGATATAATTTGGGGAGAATGGTAAGGAATGGCAAAATTGCAAAGGAATGGTAAATACGAGAGAGATGAAGGTGTTTGAACGTATTTTGAGAAAGAGAAACTAAGCGGAATGTGTTTTGCCCTCCAAATAATAAATCAACTTCTTTTTATTATCTTGTAACCCACAAACGTTTAAATCTTTTCACCTTAACCCTTTTTGCTGTTTTAATTACACTTAAAATTCGTCACGTCGGATTTTTAAACCCAAACAAAAAAAAATCAAAAAAGCTTTTCTAGTTATATTCTCATTTCCAAACTTGGAAGGCATACCAGTTAGATTTCCTCCAAAAAAATTCCCTCCAAAAAACCGTAACAAGAATCTGTAACCTCTCAAATGCAAGTAAAACCTTCTTGGAACCATTTGGGAAATCGCTTGTTTGGGTGAAAAAGGTGCTTTCTTTACTTCAATATCGATTTCTTTCTTAATCTTTTTGTATTTTTATTTCCCTCCTAAAAACCGTAATCCTAAGCCTAAGAAACAAGAATCTGCAACCTCTCAAATGTAAGTAAAACCTTCTTGGACCCACCCATTTGGGAAATCGCTTGTTTGGGTGAAAAGTTGCTTTCTTTACTTCAATATCGATTTCTTTCCTTCAATATCGTTTTCTTTCTTAATCTTTTTGTTTTTTTTAACTTGTGATATCATTTGCTTACAGAATGCAGCAATGGCCTTTTTTTCCCCATAAAATTTTCGCTGAAGATGAAGTTTTTAGTTAGGAAGACTTTGTTTTTCTTTCCTGTGTGGGTGCATTTCTTTTTTTGCTAACCATGGGGCTTTACCTCTAAGTGTTTAAATTTATTTAGAATTATTTAAAAAAAGTTGTCTTCTAATAGTATTTCATAAACTTGTTTATTCTATAGGCTACTCAGGGTGTGATTCGATGGAGAACAGAATTGATAATCTTGATAGAATATCGGCATTGCCGGATTTAGTATTGCACCATATTTTGTCATTCCTGTCGCTGAAACAAGCTGTTCGAACTAGTGTATTGTCTAAAAGTTGGAAAGAAACATGGCATACATGTCCCATTTTAGTACTTGATGAGCACAGTCATGGTGATTTTGCAAGGGCAAAAGAGGAGTTGAAGTGTATAGAACAAACTTTGCTAAACCGTCACATGGAGATGATAAGTTTAAGGAAGCTCATGATTAGCTTTTCTTGTTTTTGGAATGATCCAGAATTTGCAGCATTGGTCGATCGATGTGTTTGCTTTGCCATTGGAAGTAATGTCAAAGAGCTTAAACTTCAATTACCATTTTTCTGGGGACGATACAATTTGCCTCAAATTGTTTTTTGTGCAAAATCAATTGATGTGTTAGAGTTGTATCACTGTAATCTGTCCCGTCCAAGAATTGGTGTGCAGTTGTCTTTGAGAAAATTGTGTCTGGTGGGTGTTTGTGCAGATGATCAAATGATTGGGAATCTCTTTGCTAGGTGCCCATTGATTATCTGACAATTGAATCATCTAAAGGCTTTAAAAGCCTAGAGCTATTTAGTCTTAGTGAACTCCATGAAGTCGAGATAAGTAACAATGTTGAACTCAAAAAGGTGGAGATCAGTGCATTGAATGTTCATTCAGTGACTATTACTGATATGGAAACATGTGTGATCAATATAGCCTGCTGTAAGAATCTGAAATGCTTACTATTATCAGAGCTTTCAATAACGGATGATTGGTTATGTAACGTAATTTCAGATTTTTCACTCCTCCAGTTCTTAAGCATAGCTTATTGTCGTAAGTTAAGGAGTATCAAAATTTCAAGTCCTAGTCTTAAGGAATTGGTCATCAATGGATCTGATTTGGTTGAAGTAAAGCTTGAGACTCCTAATTTAAGTATATTCAGATTTAGGGGTCTTCCAATATCCTTTACTTCAAATGCTATGGCTTTGTCAGAAACTGATCTCTACATCTATGGTAATAGGGATATTCAGGATTTAGTTAAGTTTACCGAACTTCTTGCAAACTTTAATCAATGTTCTGAAGTGCTGAATTTGCATCTTCGCACGGGTGCAGTACGTCTATATTTACTAATCTCTCTCTCTCTCTTTTTTAAATATGCTTTTAATAAAAATTTCTTTTCTTTTCTTACTAATATTTTTCTTTTTCTTTTGTGAAGGTTGTCATTGTTCCTAGAGAATGCAGGCAAATCTTACATCCCCTTTTATGCGGTGTCAAACATTTGAACCTCCTTATAGGTGATGATCTGTTGGATCTTACGATTCCCGAACTAGTGGACAGCTTGCTCTGGCTTTCACCTCATATAGAGACTATATCGATGAGTTTTCACTTAGGTGACAGTCATAAGTACTCTTTTCAGGTACCGGATATATTACATTAATGAATTCAAGACTTGGTATATGCTGTGAGGTTCTATTAGGAGATTGTGATTGATTAACCATTTTTGTTTGTTTTACTATGTTTATGCCTTTCATGTTAAAGGAGGTAAAGGTTCTCTCAAATAGTAGCACTTGATGTGATAAATCAAAACATAAATGATAATTTAGAGTTTTTGAAATCAACATATTCTAGCTATGCATTATGTACTTTAAGGTGGAGTTAGGATTTTGCTTAATTATTTGTCATTTGTCTTTGGGAAAAAAAAATAATAATAATAATTATTTACTTTTAGGTAGAGTTAGGATGAATTTTTTATTTTTGGAATATTTGTCATCAGCGGTTCAGCTGACTGAGGGTAAGTAACCTATTGATCCGTAATTGAATTCTTTTCTGTTTCCTATCGAGAAGAAAATGGGAAAAATAAATTGTATCCTAAGACAATGTCCTTTTTGTGGATAGGAACTATTGTTTCAGTTCTCATACAAGGAGCAGCTTATTCACGAAGGAAAGACTCCTAGTTGTTGCCAATCCCTTCCCATTTCATGTTGGCAGAATTGTCTCGAGGGAGTTAAGATTGAACATACTGCGAAATTTTTTGCTCGGCCTGCTTACAGAGAAAGTTTCTATTTTCAAGACAATATCTGGAATGAGCTTCATCATCTTTATTTGAATTTGGGGAATAAGTTTAGTTATCTGTTTGATGGAGATAAATANTTAAGTGACCAAGGCTAATATGTGTCAAATAATTCATATAAAAAAACAAGTTTGCTTAAGCAATGTAGCTCTCGATTAAGCGATCAAGTATAGATAACTTGTGATCGCTTAAGTGATAGCTTACATCGCTTAAGTGACCAAGACTAATTTGTGTCAAATAATCCATATAAAAAACCACTTAAGTAACCCAGCTCTCGCTTAAGCGATCCAATACTCATCACCACCTAATATCATGTGCTCAAAACTTCAAACAAAAAGAACTTCAATCACCAAACAATCTCATAAAGTACTCATCAAAACCATTAAAATTGTGTTATGATTCATTAAAATTGGCCTGACAACTGATAAAACAGCAGCCTAAAAGTACAGAAGTCTATATAAGGAAATTGTGATCTATTTATGCTTCTTCCAAGGGAGTTGCCTTGTCCTTTTCATCTATATAAGTACAGAAGTTTGTCCAAGGAAATAAATCAGGGACACGAATTAGGAAAGTTTGAATGGATTCTATTGATTCTACGACAATTTCGACTGTGAGCTCAACCTGGCATGCATTTATAACCTCCTGAAGTTGGCTTGACTTGGTAGCTCTAAATACAGCACTTGCAACAAGAGGGTGCCTCAAAACAAATGCTGCCCCGTGAAAAATCACAAGATGAAAATAATGTTAAATCCAAATCCAAGAAAACAGCTAACTCAACGGCATTAAATAGAAGAACACATGACAAGTCTTCCACAGTAAAGATACACAGGCCTATGAGCATACATTTCTTGAAACCTGTAATTAACATTAGTGATATCCATTTGTATATGGCTTCAACTAAGAGAAGAGATATATATTCAACTAAAAGCAGACATAAAACCTCCTTTACTAGCATGGTCAATATTGTTCTTCAAAACAATTCTTTGGCAAAACAGGCTCATGGACTCACAATTTTTCTGCTTCAATTTTGTTACTTGTTAGTTCTAAATGATAAAATCCAGACCCTAAAAGGATTAGCACCCCATGATACATGATTGAGACTGTAGATCAACAATGAATGTAACAGTTTTTAGTAAGAAACTATTTTAAATATGAGACACAAAAATAAAATAAAAAGGTTACAAAAATAAATCACCATTAACATTTTCAAGACAACACACTCACACAAATACATAGAGAGAGAGGTTATACCAATTGCAAGAGATACGAGATGAAGACCATATCTTCTTGCAACATCAAGATACTCCTGCAAAAAAAAAAAAACAAAAAAAAAAAAAAAAAAATGGAAGGGTTTGATTATCATAGTATAGTGCAACAGCAAACAATTCTTTCATGCTTTAAACTTACTGCAGCAATTCAGTAATTCACACAATACATAGAGAGAGAGATGTTATACCAATTCCCTGCAGCAGATGCCTTCCTTTTCTGTTTTCGTTGCTTCAAACCTTACTCAATAGCAATTCCATACCCTTTTGCCAAACCTTCTGCTTCAAATCTTACTCAATAGCAATTCCATAGCCTTATTCAACAGCAATTCCATACCTCCATGCCAAACCTTACTCAATGTACAACCAAGAGCACAAAAACCCAACAATAGACCCACAATGCATATAACCAGGTCACAAGCAAGAGCAACAGCAACCAGTAAACAAGTAAAGAGAAAAATGCTATATCATTAAGATTCCAGAATTTACAAGAAGCGACAAAAAAGAAGTAAAAACACGGCACACACACCAGCTCAGTCGTTTCCCTTTCGCCCACTTCCTTTCCTCCAGAACCCCCACAAAAGCGATCCTTGTTGGTGCCGAAGCTCCAAACCCACCACCACCTGTAGCATAATTCTCTCTAATAATCAGCATCAATTCTTTATTACTGGTCATATTCAGCACCATCTGTACAACTTTTACAGCTAAAAAAAAAAAACATCGAATAAACAGTTAAAGCATAAAACATTGATAACTAAGAAAAATATTATTGTGAAGTATACTGTTTATCGATTCACTGAACATTATCAGTGATCTCATACATTAACAGTATCTAAAAAATTGAATAAACATTATTTTTGCATACATTTTCAGGAAAAAACTTTTAACTCCAAATGGATTATTCTTGAGCCATTGAGGACCAAATTACAAAGATCATTCACCATAAGTCTAGTTAGAAATTATTTTCACTAGCAGCTGTAAAAAACCACACAAATGGGTGCTTTGGACTTCACAGAAGAGAGCGGAATAGGGGGGCTCAGGGCGCGTGTGGACAGCCTGTGCAATATGCACGCAAGCCCATAGCCCCCTCATTCTGCTCTCTTTGCAACAAAAGCCATCCAGCCTGCCACAAAAACCTCCATAGCGCCTCCTTGGCTCCCCAGTCTCTGGAGCCCAAAACACACCCTCCTCTGATGCCCTCTAATTGTTCGACAAATGCGAAATGACTCTATCACAAAAACAACCAAAATATCCCCTCAATTGGCGCCAACAACCAATAATTTCATAAAAATATAGATTATTAAATGTTCTTCCCTCCCACATCCTCGCCAGAATTTGCGCTGACGTCCTCCCCTTCATTTTCAATTTTAAATCTGTTGTCCATTCTTCTTCCGGCGCCATCTCCTCTACCGACGAGGCGTCCTCTACGGTGGAGCAGCTTCAGTCATCAGAAGTGCTCCACCGAACCTCTTTCTCCATTTTTGGTGGACTAGTGGTGCCTACAATTGGGGAGTGGACAGGATTTTTTTTGGTTTCTTGAGGATTCAATATTGTAACTTAATCAGGTGGTAAGGAATGGCAAAATTGCAAAGAGCAAAGAATTGAGAAATGACAGAAAATTGGAAAAAAAACGAGAGAGATGAAGGTGTTTGAATGCATTTTGAGAAGAGAAATAAGAGAATGCGTTTTGCCTTTCAAAATAATAAATCAACTTTTTTATTATATTTTAACCCACAAACGTTTAAATATTTTCAATCTAAACCTTTTTGCGTGTTTAATCACTTAAAATTCGTCACGTCGGATTTTTAACCCAAACAAAAAAAAAATCAAAAAACCTTTTTAGTTTATTCCATTTCCAAACTTGGAAGGATATCAGTTAGATTTCCTCAAAAAAATTCCCTCCAAATAACCGTAACAGGAATCTGCAACCTCTCAAATGCAAGTAAAACCTCTTGGACCCATTTGGGAAATCGCTTGTTTGGGTGAAAAAGGTGCTTTCTTTACTTCAATATCGATTCTTTCTTAATCTTTTTGTATTTCATTTCCCTCCTAAAAACCGTAATCCTAAGCCTAAGAAACAAGAATCTGGCAACCATCTCAAATGTAAGTAAAACTTTTTGGACCATTTGGGAAATCGCTTGTTTGGGTGAAAAGTTGCTTTCTTTGCTTCAATATCGATTTCTTGCTAATCTTTTTGTTTTGTTTTGTTTTTTTTTTTTTTTAATTTGATATCATGTACTTACAGAGTACAGCAATGCCCTTTTTTTCCCCATAAAATTTCGTGAAGATGAAGTTTTTAGTTAGGAAGACTTTGTTTTCTTTCCTGTGTGGGTGCATTTCTTTTTGCTAACCATGGGGCTTTAGCTCTAGTGTTTAAATTTGTTAAACCTTAGATTTTTTAAAAGTTGTGCTTCTAATAGTATTTCATAAACTGTTTATTCTATAGGCTACTCAGGGTGTGATTCGATGGAGAACAGAATTGATAATCTGATAGAAATCGGCATTGCCGGATTCAATATTGCACCGTATTTTGTCATTCGTCGCTGAAACAAGCTGTTCGAACTAGTGTATTGTCTAAAAGTTGGAAAGAAACATGGCATACATGGCCCATTTTAGTACTTGGTGATTTTGCAAGGGCAAAAGAGGAGTTGAAGTTTTAGAACAACTTTGCTAAACCGTCATGGAGATGATAAGTTTAAGGAAGCTCGTGATTAGCTTGTCTTGTTTTTGGAATGATCCAATTTGCAGCATTGGTAGATCGAGTGTGTTGGCTTTGCAATTGGAGTAATGTCAGAGCTTAAACTTCAATTTCCATTTTGCTGGGGACGATACAATTTGCCTCAAATTGTTTTTTGTGCAAAATCAATGATGTGTTAGAGTTGTATCACTGTAATCTGTCCGTCCAAGAATTGGTGTGCAGTTGTCTTGAGAAAATTGTGTCTGGTGGGTGTTTATGTAGATGATCAAATGATTGAGAATCTCTTTGCTAGGTGCCCACTGATTGAGTATCTGACAATTGAATCATCTAAAGGCTTAAAAGCTAGAGCTATTTAGTCTTAGCGAACTCCATGAAGCGAGATAAGTAACAATGGTGAACCCGAAAAGGTGGAGATCAATGCATTGAATGTTCATTCAGTGACTATACTGATATGGAAACATGTGTGATCAATTAGCCTGTTGTAAGAATCTGAAATGCTTACTATTATCAGAGCTTTCAAAACGAGATTGGTTATGTAATGTAATTTCAGATTTTTCACTCCTCCAGTTCTTAAGCATAGCTTATTGTCGTAAGTAAGGAGTATCAAATTTCAAGTCCTAGTCTTACGGAATTGGTCATAATTGGATCTGATTTGGTTGAAGTAAAGCTGAGACTCCCAATTTAAGTATATTCAGATTTAGGGGTCTTCCAATATCCTTTACTTCAAATGCTATGGCTTTGTCAGAAACTGATCTCTACTCTCTGGTAATAGGGAATTCAGGATTTGTTAAGTATACCGAACTTCTTGCAAACGTAATCAGTGTCTGAAGTGCTGGAATTGCATCTTCGCACGGGTGCAGTACGTCTAATTTACTAATCTCTCTCTCTCTTTTTTTTTTAATATGCTTTTAATAAAATTTTCTTTTCTTTTATTACTAATATTTTTTTTTTCTTTTGTGAAGGTTGTCATGGTTCCTAAAGAATGCAGGCAGATCTTACATCCCCTTTTATGCGGTGTCAAACATTTGAACGTACTTATACTTATAGGTGATGATCTGTCGGATTTTACGATTCCCGAACTAGTGGACAGCTTGCTCTGGCTTTCACCTCATATAGAGACTATATCGATGAGTTTTCACTTAGGTGACAGTCAAAAGTATTCTTTTCAGGTACCGGATATATTACATTAATGAATTCAAGACTTGGTATATGCTGTGAGGTTCTATTAGGAGATTGTGATTGATTAACCATTTTTGTTTGTTTTACTATGTTTATGCCTTTCATGTTAAAGGAGGTAAAGGTTCTCTCAAATAGTAGCTCTTGATGTGATAAATCAAAACGTAAATGATAGTTAGTTTAGATAATAAAAATGCTAGTTTTTGATATCAACATATTCTAACTATACATCATGTACTTTTAGGTGGAGTTAGGATTTTGCTTAATTATTTGTCATTTGTCTTTGAAAAAATAAAAATAAAAATCATTATTTACTTTTAGGTAGAGTTAGGATGAATTTTTTATTTTTGGAATATTTGTCATCAGCGGTTCAGCTGAATGAGGGTAAATAACCTATTGATCAGTAATTGAATTCTTTTCTGTTTCCTATCGAGAAGAAAATGGGAGAAATATATTGGATCAATGTCCTTTTTGTGGATAGGAACTATTGTTTATTGCCATTGATTTTTGTTTCAGTTCTCATACAAGGAGCAGCTTATTCACGAAGGAAAGACTCCTAGTTGTTGCCAATCCCTTCCCATTTCATGTTGGCAGAATTGTCTCAAGGGAGTTAAGATTGAACATACTGCGACATTTTCTGCTCGGCCTGCTTACGGAGAAAGGTTCTATTTTCATGACAATATCTGGGATGAGCTTAATAATCTTCATTTGAATTTGGGGAATAAATTTAGTTATCTGTTTGATGGAGATAAATAGGTATCTGTTTGATATCAGTAGCGACTAAGAAATTCTCATGTAACGTTGGGTAACTTTGAGATATATTGAATATCATTGAGAAGGAAATTTTTGTTATGCATCAAACCTCAAAGAATTGAGTTTTTTTTTTTTTAATTCCTTGTATACAAAAGTAACATAGCTTTTGTAAAATGTCAGTTAAATGCGATAGATTTTGATGGCCTTTCAAATAAAATACAAAAGATGAAAAGAATTGGCAAGATATCAAGGAGGGAAATAGTGAATTGGAAGTAGGAAATTCAAATACCTAATCCTTAAATGGGTATATAAAATTGAATAAAAAGAGTAGATGTTTTTACTTAATTTTTTTTGGGGTAATTTATATGTTGTTGGTGGAGTCAACCTTGTGAAATGGTGTTTGTGGGGGAGTTGTCTCGGTGGTGGTGGTGGTGGTAGTGGGGGTGGATATGTTTGCAATCTAAATATTAAAACAAGATGAACATCAAGGACTTGGTGACTTGGCCATGTGTTTTTAGGACCCCACTTCGGGTTTTAGCCACTCATTTTAAGGTTTTTTTCCCTTTTTTTTTGGGAACCCAACTAGAAAGTCGACAATTAACTAGTAGATTTTTGTCGGTAATTTTGATTGAATTATTGCTATAAGT